TTGGTCCAGGTTGCCACAGGTCATCAGCCCAAGAAAGTGAACAGCAAATTCATAGAAGTAGTTACTTCAATTATAGTAATACATAGAAGAAAGATTTTATATAAAGATATGATACAAGAAGAAAGAATTAGTTCGTAGAAAGAAAACTGCAAAGCAATTTTAATCTCACGGTTTCAGGGAACACCATTGTGATCGATTCTAAGCCATGTCACCCAGAGTCCCCAACCATTGGTTACTACAGTCGCGCAAACCCCAACCAAGTAGTCTGCATTTGCTGACATGGCTCAGACCAGAATTTAGTGACTTCAAGCACTGATGCCACGTTTTGGGTTGGCTGCCCCTAACTTTCTTCCAACCATCCCCAACACCGGTTAGCATTGTACGTAGTGGTAATTGGTGTTCAGACATACGCAACACGTGGCCCAACCATGGAGATTCACAACCCCATCAACTGATTTACCATCATTCCCTGATACCCTTCTCAACGTAGATGCTACCTTGTAGTGGTGGTCGGGCTTGCCTATCGTGATGATCCAACCGAGCCATGTTGTTTGTAACATACGTTCCTGTAGGTTCTACCATTGCGGGCAGGTCGATTGGAGAACGGTAAAACTAAAAGCAGCAGCTCAAGGTCTGAGGGCGAAGTCGTACAACTGGCTGTAGAGGGGTGTAACAGCAGTAAGTTATTTCCCTCGGACAACCAGCATTTACAGCGACGATGCCTTCTCACAAGGAAGGAAGGGGTTAGAAAATATCACACCTCACCTTACCTCACGGAGTTTCGTCTCCGGTGATAAGGCCTTCTGAAGAACGGAGCTAACATGTTAAAAACGTCCCACAAAATGGCCGGCATCAAGCAGTTGTCCCTTGGGCTCTGCTGTCGCGCTCCCAGGTCGTTAAGATCAACACCAATCCAACTTCCTTTCCAGGTTCCTCAAAAAATACCCTTCCACGTTTTGGGCAGCCAGGAAGTGACATTAGCCCTCATACCCGTAACAACACACGAGACCAAGTTGGTCACAGTCAAATCCTTCCTACACATAATAACTCTCTTATCTCCACGACTGTTCCTTCTTACTTTCCTTTACCACCTCGCGCCGCTAATGCAAACAATCCGAGTACGCGGAACGTTTTGCCCGATCTCCTGAAACCACGCTTTAAACGTCCGAACACTGTGCCAAATAGGACAACAGGCTTCCTTTAGAATCTTGCACCATCAATGTGTGCTGCGTCTCCGAAACGCGCACACAGGGTCCTGGTAGTGTCATTCATTTGACCTCACTATATCAAAACAAAGAACCATCTCCATTCACACTTCGTGTATCTGGAAACCCTGATGCTGCTTCCCGTGGCCCCGCTGGTGTAGGTATAACGGGTTATAGGGCAGAACTAGCTCTCTTAAACTGGATCCCAGTAGACAGTCGTTTGTGCGCTGTCCGACTAAACGGAACAGCAAGGACTCTAAATATGACGAAGAGCGGAGTCAGCTTAAGCGTAAACTGACTAGAAGCTTACGCAATGATCGCGAACAGTGGTGGGTAGCGACAGCAAGAGAGATGGAAATGGCAGCGGCAATAGGTAACAGCATGCATCTGTTCAAACTTGTTAAGGAAACCGGTATCAGGAACCCAACTGTTAGCGAAACAATCTCCGAAAAAGATGGACATATTATTCATTCTCAATCCAGGAGATTGGATCGGTGGGTAGAACACTTTAGGAATCAGTTCAACTGGCCTTCAGCCACACTTCGGTTTCTCACGATCTCCAGTCTACCTGAATGGCAAGTTAATGTAAGTCCTCCAACTGTTTACGAAGTTGAAAAAGCTACAGGAAATCTGAAGCGCAGGAGAGCAGCAGGCCCTGACAGGTTTATCCCTGAGATTTTTAAGGATGGCGGTCCAGTATTAGCAGCGAGATAGACTGAAGTCTTAGGTAAAATCCGGGAACTGGACGTAATCCCATCTGACTTGTCTCAATCACTGATTGTGCCAGTCTATAAGAAAGGACAAAAGTCCTCTTGTGACAATCACAGGAATCAGTTTGACCAATATAGTGTCTAAAATATTAGCATCAATAATACTTCGACGCCTAACTAAAGCTCGTGAAGAGCAGACTAGAGGAAACCAGGCTGGTGACCGACCTGGACATAGACACACATTCAGACGCCCCACAATGGTAGTATTTCTCGACCTTAAGGCGGCATTTGACTATGTTGATCGTGAGGTTCTATGGCAGTCTTTGTCACTGAAGGGAGTACCAAAGAAATACATCAACCTTATAAAGGCTCTCTACTCGAACACAACTGGTCGAGTGAGAGCTTATGGCGAACTGTCATTAGAGCTGATTACCTCAAGTGATGTTCGTCAGGGCTGTCCACTTTCTCCATTCTTGTATAACTTTGTTGTTGACGTCCTTTTAGAGATGACACTTTCCTCATTTAAATTTCCAGGAGTTGAACTTCTACCGGGAGATCCACTTGTTGACTTAGAATATGCCGATGACATAGTTCTATTTGATGAAGACGCTGACAAAATGCAGAGTCTGCTGATCGCTCTAAGCAAAAATGCAGGCATGTTCGGGATGCGATTTTCTCCCTCGAAATGCAAAATATTGCTTCAGGATTGGGTTGCGTCGACACCCGAACTAGTGACAGGGAGTGAAGTAGTTGAGCGTGTCGACCGCTTCACTTAACTTGGAAGTTCCATCAGCCCTTGTGGTCATGTGTGTGGCGCAACCTCATCACGGATACAGAATGCTCGACTAGCTTTTGCCAACTTGCGTCATTTGTGGCGTAGGCGAGATATCTGTCTATCAACCAAAGGACGTGTTTACTGCGCAGAAGTTCGTTTCGTCCTACTTTATGGCAGTGAAACATGGCCGGTAAGAGTAGAGGATATTCGAAGGTTACTAGTATTTAATCATAGGTGTCTTCGAAACATCGCTCGTATATCCTGGGACCACCGAGTAAGTAATGCAGTTGTTAAGAAACGGGTACTAGGTAAGGATGGCAAATCTATTGATGAAGTAGTGAAACTTAATCAGTTGAGATGGCTGGGACATGTGTTGCGCATGCCAGACCACCGACTGCCACGACGTGCGATGTTTTATGGTGTGGGAGTAGGTTGGAAGAAATCTAGTGGCGGCCAGACCAAAACATGGCACAAATCCATAAAGTCACTGACAAGTGGACTGAGCCATGTTGGTAGATGTAGACTACTTGGTTGGGGACCGCGAGATGATAGCAACCGATGGTTAGAGACCTTGAATGACATGGCTCAAAATCGTTTGCAATCGTGCAGGTGCATCCACTCTTTGTGCTTTTCCTGAATTGTAATATTTTGAATTCTTCATGTCTCTTTTTCCTCTTTTCAAATCTATTTCACTGGATTATACTCCTTGAATAACATCTTCAAAGCATAATCTTTCTGGTTACTGCTTATAATTTTACTACCTGTATCACTATGGGATTTGAACCGACACTTGTATCTCTGCTAATGTGGTATGATAACTCGAACTGATGTACGTACGTATGAAGTTCTACGCTTTTACTGACTCATTGACTGATCTTGCGCCTAATTTCACAATTACTTACCTTGTGATTTCAGAAGATGCGAATAATATTTCTAAGACATCTGTGATGAAATACTAGTAACTTACGAGTGTCTTTCACTCTTATTGGCCTCGTTTCGCAGCCGAATAGTAGGACAGAAAGAACTGCTCAGTGTACCCGATCCTTAATTGATGGACGGTTATCTCACCTTCACCATAAGTGACGTAAGTTGGCAAAAGCCAAACTAGATTTTTGGGTCTATACAGAGATTTCGTCAGACACCAACCCATTAGGGCTGATCAGACTTACGAGATAAGTGGATTTATCGACGCGTTCGACTACTTCACTCCCTATCCTTATTTGAGTTGTTCACGATTACCGTAAATGACTTGGAAGGAAAATGGACAATAGTCAAAAATTCATTTCTGGAGCATCTTGTCAATTGTAGTCGTGGTGCTTCACTAGTATTTTCTTCTAAAATTATTTATAGTCAAAAAAGTAAGTTCAAATAGAATGGAAACCAAAGATATCAATTACAGTGATTTCAGCAACTTACCGGTTCAAGCCTAAATCTATATGCTGAAGCATCTGGTTTAACCTCTCATTCTTACAATGACCTTAACAACTGTTCTAGTTTTTCTTATGCACCAATCAACTGTTATTACCAGTTTTTATAATTATATCTATTATTTCGACAGTTATCCCCATAACTCAACTGCAAACTATTTCCAGCTTACAATTTCTCCCTAAACTTTAGACAATTATTCAACTTGTTCAATCCGGAAAAGGTTCCTCCTCTAAACTACCTTTGTTTCTTTTCCAGTCACAATGAATGATATCAAAGTAAGAAGATGGGTACGGGCAGATCAAGATATACAATCATTCCGCAAGTTATTGACTGTTGATCTGAGCCATGTCAGTAGGTCCAGACTTCCTTATCGAAATAGCTGAAATAATCGTAATTCATAGTTAGAGACGTTAAGTAACATGATAAAATGTCGGTCATTGTAGTGTAATTGCATTCATTTTTTTAAATCTTCCTTCATATCTTGAATTTAGTATCATTCCTAACTTTTCATTCTCTCGTCGCACTTCTACCTTATGAACACATCTCTCATACTTTGATATTCATTGCATTTGAAGATTGCTGTCTTCAATATGTTAATTTCTTTTTGTTGTCCTGGTGTGAAGTGTAGCAACTCAAACCGATATACATTTGTGCCAGGTTCTGCTTCGATGTTGACTGACTTTCTAGTGTTAATTCTTCATATTTATGTATCTACCGACAAGTATTTAATTTTGTTTATGAGTTTACCAATGTGACATGCGTGATCTAACTTTCCACAAACGAATGTAGGTTTACTCTGCATTGAACAAAGCAATTATTATTATTATTTTTTGACTTGAAGTGTGTGTAAAACTACTTTTAATACCGTCATAATTATTGTAGGCATTTAATTGTAAAACCCTCTCCATCATTGGCCATGTGTACAAGTATAGTGGCTACACAGTCACAAGTTGACGATAGTAGTTCTATACATAGTCTTTATCAGAAGATTATAACACTTTCTAACAGTATGGTCACGGAAGCGGAAGAGTTTTTAGTTGCTGCATATCGAAAACATGCCTATACAAAGGTTCGTGAATTCACACAATTTATCAGCCAACTTCATAATGCTGACGTATTTCTAACTGTCCGTGTTGAAATGCTTCATTGGCAGTTGATTGTTTCAGAACATGAGTAAGTATTACTGATGATATTTTTTTATTATTTTTGATTATAAGTTTCTCCGGGTTACTAGAGTATTCACCTTATATAACCATAGTTCACTCTCGTTTTTTGCCTTTGAAATGTGACCTTTAGACGACAACGTGATGCATACTGATTTGTTATGTACAACGGTAATAAAAAGTGGTCATACTTGAAAGTATTAGTTGAGAATTATAATATGGATTACTACCTCTGATAAAAGTAGTTTTTAATATGAGTATAACCTAATTAGTGAAATAGTCTATCAAATGCTAATGAAGATAGCGTTCTCAAATATCCGTTCTTTTTAGTTACAGAACAGAAAGTGAGGACAAGATTATGTGATTCTATCATTTGTAGTTATATTCTCAATTTTTCAACACTTCTTTGTTGTATATGAATGAAAAAGGAGCAAAGCAGTGGTTGAAACAATCACTTTCAAACCTCGTCCCACCTATTTCATTTTGGATAACTGGTTACTGTCATTAGTCTTCACACTACGTGACTCGAAGTGGAATACATGAGATAGTACTTGCATACTAAACTGCATCGAAAAGTTATTGTGAATAGTCACGTTTTGTGTATTTTTAGACTACTACGTTACATTAAACATGTAGCTTCATAATCTTGGTGTCACTGAACAGGTTAAATGATTTCTGTTTCTTGTGATAGTTCATTAATATCCATAAGATTTACCCAAAATTTAAACGCAAGAAGTCCTCCTTCTTTTCTCTTCAGAGAGTAGGAGGAATTGTAATTTATTGTGAAATATTTTAATCCATGGCAGGGTAGACTTAATATCAAAACCATGTTACATTGGTACCAGGTATAAGGTTGTGAATCCGATGTCCGTCACTTTTAAACTATTATCATCCGTCATATTCCACAGAATATGTGCAAAAACCATGAAAAACTTACTCACGACAAGCAGACTGCCTTCCTTTCCGATTGTGAATGCTTTTATCACCTCCACTCTCTGGCATATGTTCGGACACCACCACATTTATTGCAGAACAATAATCGTCTTTTCTTGATATCAAGGGTGCCTTCAGTTCGTTAGATATGGCTTTTCTGGGTTTGTCTGTTCAAGAAGGAGTGGTTGAGAAGCTTATGATAAATCTGTATACAAACGCTTCAGACATACTAAAGGCATACAACCATCTCCCTCCATTGTCCCATCTGAATAGTAGAGTTAGATGGTGTTGTCATTTCTTACTATTCCTCTTCAACTTTGTCATTGACGGTGTCTTAGAAACAGAGATGAAGGAAGTATATGGTAATAGTGTGAATTTGTCATCTGGAGAAAAACATTGTCTGACTGCAGGATAGTGCATAAGCTATCCAAACCTCATTTAATCAGCTCTCATTCAATGTTCGTAAGTTCAGCATGTAATTTTCATCTTTAAACATTAAGTACCTGTACAAAACCATCAGGAGTCTTTGTGTTCAATAGTTTGTGCATCTGGATAGTTGTGCGATGGCTAGTAGTGGTGTAACTGATGATGTCAGTGCACATATAGTGAAAGCCAAAGCGGCGTATGTCAATGTAGGCCACTTTTGGCTTCATCGTGATGTTAATCTGACTATAAAAGGTATGGTAACAGCAGATCTATTGGGTTAAGTACGTTATCAGATATGACTCAGAATAGAATCCGACTATGATTCCGCTGTAGTTTTCATAAAAATAAGGTAAACTTGCTTAACTCAAAGAAAACTTTCGTGACCGTTTTTGGATACTATTCTTGCTCATTTATTGACTGTCCTACCCTTCCCTTATTTCGTCACAATATTATTAATTCATTTGTGTGGCGGATTTTTTTCGTGTCCTATTATACAAAAATTTGTTTTAAATAGATAAATCACTTTTTTTTTTTAGATTTTTACATAGTTCTGGCTTAAATTTTGTCTTTGACTTTCAGCTTTGATACACTTCTTGAGCAACTGGGTCAGGCTCAAATAAGTATTGATAATGGTAAGTAGATAAAACTTGTTTATTAGACATGCCAATTTATTTTCCTATGAACATTCATGTGTCTATTTGTATGAGTCTAATTGTTTATACTGTTTTTCCATGATCTCTTAGTTACAAAACAACTTCCGATGATTGTTGATTGTCGGGACTTTTCAGTCACACCGAACTTTGATCAGTAAGTGAAGTATTTTACAGGATTTCTAACTCATTTTTTATTAGATATGAACGAGTTGAAAACGTTCGATTGTCGTTTGACCATTTAGTAAGTTAACTATTCTTTCTATTTATTCATACACCTTTGTTGTCCTGACTATGCTTATCTTTTCGAGTCATTTTCAAATTAATACTTTTCAACATTTGTTTCCTATTAATGCCAGTTAGATCCCTTACGTAACATTCCATCTAGTATATAATGTCAGAAATCAGTAGTTATCAATCTTTTAGTCAATTAATTTCACTAATGTACACATCTATTCACCGTTGTCGAAAATATCTAGTTTTCTGGCTTAATATAATAATTGACAATTTTTCATGGGTTTTGAATATTCACTTTGTGATATGTTAAGATTTAGTCTTTTTAATTTTCTTCCTCACTCGGCTCAATTGCGCCAGCTCACACCTTGACCATTGCATAGCTCCTTTTCTCTTTCAAGTCCATTGACCTATAATTATAGTTGTTCTGTGGCTCCTTGCCTATCATCGTCAGAACATAAATGTGTAAATTTTGAACGATTCCGAAACTTCTTTTACTTACCTCACTACATAATGTCAGTAATCGCCGTTCAGTTTCGAATCAGTAGTCTGATGAAATTTCATGTATATCATTTAACCAATAATTATCACTCATTTAGCATCATAAAACGTGAAAACTTGTTCTGATCATTTTTTCTATTTCGCTGTTTCAAAGTATCTCTTATTTGTGTATATTTTCAGAAATCATGGTTAAATCTCCGTTGTTTAACTCTAAATGCTGTTGTCTATTCAACTTCGCTCGTAATGTCAATTGTTAAAGTTGAACATTATATGATGTCCGAAAGTCAGCATGAAATTGCAGAGAACGTACCACCAGAATCTGTCAAAAGTTTAAACAGTCTGCTATCGACAATCAATGATCTCGATTCACATACCAAAGAACCATCTACAAGAGGATTAAGCGATTTTAAATTACTAGTTCGTTTTGTTTAGTCAATTTCATATTGTTAGACTTTTTTGTTTCTGTGCTTAATTTTGGTTAATTCAGCTAAATAACAATTTTATCACGATACTCACTAGCCCCTGTAAACACAAACAATTTGTAATGTATGTGAACTGTTTAGTAAATATCTATGTTGGATAAGGATTCAGCATTACTAACATATTACACAATACGCAGTACATTTCATCATGCTATTGTGTTAGAGTTTAAAGATAGTCTTTGTACATGTTACGTTTGAAAAGATTACGATATCACCTAAAAGCGGTAAAGGGAACGAAAGTCTAGCATCTCCAACAGTACAATGACTGTACATCTGTCCACTGGTCTTTGATTGTTTTAAGACAGATATCGTATTGTGTGATCCCCAAAGAAATGAATATGATCATCATGTTTCCTAAAATATTGACCCAATCCCATATAACTGGAACTCATGAACATTAAACCAAAAAACCTAAGTTTAAAATATCAATGTATCGACTAAACCTTTACTGTGCTGTAAGCATATTCACTATCCGTGAACGTGTTCCTCAATCTGAAGAACACGTTCGAATCCAACCGAATAAGCCTGATGATATGAAGTTATATTAAGGGCTTAAATAAACGTATTGAACGTTTTTCACTCTAACACAATCGAATCTAACCACGTGACCGACTGTCATCTTTACTGGTTATGTTGAGTGGTGCTCATCAGGTCTGTGTGCTTCCCTATTTTTATTTAACTTGTCATAGATATTCTCACAGTAGTGGGATAATTTTTTCCGGATTGGTTTAACAGACTAATGTTGGTTAAACTAAGACATTCTATCATTAATTATTGGTCTGAGCCATATCGCCAGGTAGACACCTCAGTTAGCATTCTCCAGATAACCAAACTACTGTTAAGTACTTTAAGTAAATGAGTCGTATTAATTCACAAACATTCATCAATCAACTTCCTGAATGTTTTGAACATATTATTATTCAAAAGTTGTTACCTGTTTTATTGTGTTGGTATTTTTACATTCACTCCTTTGATTTTTCTCTTGATGTACTGATATATGTGACTAATTGGAGAGGTTCATATTTTCAGTAGTTAATTTTAAACAACTAGGGATGTGGCACAAGTATGAATCGGCCTTAGTTGCTTCTTAGATCAGAAAATCAAGAAGAAATTAACTAGATAAAAAGCAACATAGTATTCAGAAATGGGATTAGAAGATGAAAAGTTTAAGATGATTTACTAGTCAAAATTTAGAGGAAGGTTAACATTTAATGCATTTAAGCTACTATAACGTACTCTGAGCTGGGTCATAAGTTTATGTCTATTAGCCTGAAACAGAGATATAATTCAAAGGTAATACTGAAATAAAAATTTATCAGAATTTCATATATGATTCCTCTTATCGTTGTCCCTATTTCTTTCCTCTATTAGTCATGGAGTATTATGGTAAAACGTGATCAAATACTCAAAACATTCCCTGATTTGCCAGATGTATCATGCGCTTCATTATATTGCTATGGACCATACCGAAGGGTTTTATCTATCGGTATTGAACTTATATTAGGACTTCATAGTCTGGTTTCCGAAAATCCTTGTAAGTCACAATAGTTTCATTTCAGAATTAAGAACATTTCTATTAATTTGTTACCAATGAATGAACTTTATTAAAACGGTTCTTCATGTTTGTTACATTTAGCTGCCTTTACTAAGAAATCCATGGACTATCTTCTTCAATCCTTGTATGAATCCTTTTTGTCTGGAAAGTTTACTTCTGAAGATACAGACATACCAAAGCTTTATCCAGCTATAAATACTTCTTTACTGTCTTCACCAAAAGACGTTCATTTGCCTAACGGCATTTCTAGTGATAAAGATTTTGTTCATCCTGGTGGTGTTTTATTAATCCTGACAATGTTTTATGAAAGTATTTCTTTGGCGACTTTACTAGTATCAATAATTCAAAGTGCCTTACGTCCTAGGAGGTAAATTTAAACACATTGTTTATCTTTACATGAAATAAATTATTCTTTAATACACGAATTATACTTATATGTCACATAATTTTACTGGTTCTAAATCTTCAACCCGAGTGTAGATACAATATTATCGCAGTTATCACCTTAGTTATCCTGGTTGTTCAACCGAACATTTTATCTTATGACTTCACCATAGTAAGTAGGTTGATTAAAGAGTGGTTAGACTACGAGTAAATTTCAAATTTATTAACGAGATTACATCAAATTTCTTCCAACGAGTGATCAACATTTCTTTCAATGGAGTAATGGATTATGGAAGGTCATTCTCCAAATCGATTTTTGTTACTGAAATTATGATTTAAAATGAGCAAAGTCAATACTTACTAAACGAATTGTATCTTCAGCTGTCACTCACTCAAGTAAAAAGTACCGTGATTATTAGCTTAGCTTCTTGTTCAAATTCTTTAAAAATATATTCTTCATTAGTGTTAATTATAATCATATAATCCATGTCAGTTGAAACAATCCTTTCTGTATTCACACTTTATCTAAGCTCTCACTGATTACGGTCTCAATAAATGAAAGTTCGAGCATAAACTTTCTAGCTTTCTCCCATAGTTTCTAATCTTTAACTTAATAATAGTAATTGGTGATCGTAGACTTAGCGAACCAGTTTTACATTTATGTAAAGCTTTCAATATTTTTGTTAAGCAAGCGAACAATAGTAATATGGTGGCGCGACTGTAGTCTGAAGACTGTTCCTTTCCCGAAGGTAACCTTCTTGATGACTCAAAATCAGTAGCATTGATCCAATGCATTTCTCCTTTATCTTTCCATAAACCTTAAACCCTATATTATCTTTGATATTTTAAATTCTCTATTTGATTTCATCCTTCTAAAGTACACTTAATACGTTTGTTTGTCTACTTTCGTATGTCATGTCATTTACATTCTCTTTTTTATCTTACTTCGCTGATATGATGGAAAACTTTCTAAGTTTTTTACATAATTTATTATTGGTCTTGTTTTAAAAATATTTATCTTCGTTTCACAATAATTTTACTTCATGCAGCAAAGTAAACAAATTTTTCACCTTACTTTACACTACTAGTTAATTCAGTTTCATATAACCAAAAACATAAATTATTCCTCATATCCACCTATAATTTCATTTATTAAGCTCTTACATTTTTACAATTTACTTTTATCAGTATGTCGTTTTAATGATAATAATTATTTAAATGTAGTTTGCAAAGCTATAAATATTTATCATATCTGAACTGCGTTTATATCAAGTAATATGGATTATGTTAGTCTAAATCTTAATAAATACTCTTGAAAATATGCTTTTATGAATGATTGTAATTTTACTTGTGCGCTATACTCTGTTTTTCATTCTATTTTAGCCATTATCATCATGAAATAAATAAATATCAAAAGAGAAAAAGTAAAAAAGATAAAGTAATAAACACTAATTCAAATCATTCTCCAATTCTCAGTTTGTTAGACAATTTCGGTGTTGGTTTATACAATACTACAACAAAATTGGTAGCTATTACTGATCAATTAGTAGAAGTTACCAGTTGTTGGTCTACTTGGTGTCATGATGTTTCATGTAAAGAATTTCAATTGATTGCCTCAAATGCTTGTACACATGTACTGCCTGAAGATTTCTTATTACAGGTTGTGAAATTGTTTTTTTTTTATTTACAGTATATCAAAGTGTTAATTGTTTTATTTATTTATTTATTTTCAACACATAGGTATAGGTACAAGGAGGCACCAAGTACATATGCGCCACACGAATCTCAATTGATTTATGTGAGGGCTGTGATACTGCTCGGGTGCCCAGACCGAAGGAGGTGGTTTTCTTAGGGGGCCACACCCCGAGCCTTTGACCTGAAGATCTGATCCACAAGGCAGTGGAGCATCGTAAGGAGATGCAGTCCCATGGTAGCCGGTGACCAACGATTGGTTCATACGCCATATGTTCCCGCAGGATACTGGAGCCCATGTGCACCATTGATTTGGGATCCGGTAAAGCGCCGGAAATTCGCTTTTCGTCCTCTCATTTTCGTAAACAACACCCCTTCCACGAAAAGGCAGTGAGTAGGACTTCCCTGGCAGGGGCTGTATACGCGTGGCCATGTGAGAGCATTTCGAGAGGGAGAGCGGACTCCCCAATCTCGGCCGTACCAGGGCATTTAGTAATCATTAAATTCTAATTAAATTGTATGTTTTCAAATTGAGCAATAGCTCAAATAATCATAAATTATAGGGGACAATTCTTGGTTGGATCCTATATGCAGAGACTTATTCACAGTTGATTGGTATTTCAAATATCAGTCTACATTTATGATACCGAATGATAAAGGTGATACTTCCCTGAAAACCGTGAATTTTCTTGCCGTTTCTCCATTCTCCCATAAATATATACTCTGATTATAGCGTTTAGTTCAATATTTATTTTATCCGGGGATCACGTTTGTCGATTTACACAGAAGCTAAGAATTAATGTTGATCAAGCATCCGATTTCAATTTGATTAAACTTATGATCGTGATTTAATAAAATGGTAGATAAATCATTAGTCTAATTCACTTTTATCCATCATTAATAATAAAGATGAGAAAGTCTATTTTGTTTTGTGTCTAAATGTATTTTTTATTTATTTAATCGTGAATAATTTTTATGACATTTCATACCTTAAATCTGATATCTACAGAAATATATGTGAATAATTACTCCTATGTATTATGTATTAAATATGTTGTTTGTTATTGTGCCTCTTTTTTAAGTATCCTGTACTAAAACCACCTAATTGTGCGTTTGAAGAGCTCAGTAACGTCTACGAGAAAAGTTTTAATCGAATTGCAGCCGGTCTTCGTATAAAATCGTCTTGTCTTCAAAATATAACAACTGAATTGGCCGTGTATCAGTTTAGAACTCATGAAATAGTGTCTGTTCATAACTCAAATTCTTCACCTTAATGAATTAATATTTCAACCTGGCCAATATCCTTTGTTTGTAACAAAATCCTTTGTATCTGAGATGTGTCTTGTTGCTGAAACTGTGCATTTGTAATCTGTGACTTGTAATTTCTCTAACAGTTGTATTAATTTCAACAGTAGTATGCTGGAGAAAAAAAATAAAAAATATATTTTTAGGTTACCAGTCTTTGTCTTTTTGTCACTCATTTTTACGGACGTAATGTTGTTTGATTATTTACTGAGGCTTGTCAAGTTTAATTTGCTTTTTTTAACTATATCTTTCTACAGACCAGTATACATTTATATGTGTAATACCTAGTCCTGAAATATTATTTGTACAAATCATTAGCACAGCTTTGTTTACGTACAATTATTTTGCTAAACTTCCCAACAAATCCGATGAAAAGTCTAAAATGGTTGATCATTTTTGTCATTAATGTGATTTGGTTACTTGATTATGATGTAAAACTTTAAGGTTAACGACCAGGATAGATTGTGAAAATTGCTTGACAATAACAGTTTCGGAAAATGGTAACTCATAATATAAAAAGCTTATAAATGCTTCTATAAGTACTCAGTCCTCTGTTACCAAGATCAGAAATAATAATGTAAATCGGTGTGCAAATATTTATTCGTACATTTGATTTTAAACGAAAATTTCTGTTTGAAATGACAACGTTGTCCACATAGGTGAAGCTTAGTTCTAGCCAATAATGTAGTAAATATAAAAATGGAGTATTATATAACCATTAAGCTGTTGTTTTAGTGCGAAAAATTAATAATAATAATGTGATTGACTAGTTATCCACTACATTTTCTATCATCTGCCAAAATAATTTAAGGCATTTTTCAATATAGCCATGCTAATTGAATTATAGGAAATATCAAGATCCAGATTTTTTCCCCTTCATTATAAATCAGTAAATAGGTTATTTGTTTTAAAGTCAAATATTTTACTAGAAATTGTTTTTATGTAACTGACCTTGATCTATGTGTAGTAAGTCGTGTTCAACCGTTCTGTGTTCAGTTGTGGTATATCCTGGGACCACCGACTAAGTAATGTAGTTGTTAAGAAACGGGTACTAGGTAAGGATGGCAAATCTATTGATGAAGTAGTGAAACTTAATCAGTTGAGATGGCTGGGACATGTGTTGCGCATGCCAGACCACCGACTGCCACGACGTGCGATGTTTTATGGTGTGGGAGTAGGTTGGAAGAAATCTAGTGGCGGCCAGACCAAAACATGGCACAAATCCATAAAGTCACTGACAAGTGGACTGAGCCATGTTGGTAGATGTAGACTACTTGGTTGGGGACCGCGAGATGATAGCAACCGATGGTTAGAGACCTTGAATGACATGGCTCAAAATCGTTTGCAATGGCGCAGGTGCATCCACTCTCAGTGTTCTCTCAAACTCTAATCTTCTGAATTCTCCATGTCCTTTATTTTCTTTCCAAATCTATTCCACTGGACTATACTCCTTAAATAACATCAAACCTTAATGTTCCCTGTCACTACTTATGCTTTCACTACCTCTACAATTTTTCAAACTAATCAGCAACTCATTGAGATTTTTTTGGTGTCTTATTTCAAGTTGTGTAGCTCTGTAAATAAATTAATGAGCAAGGGTTTCATCTTAATTGTACTTAAATTTATTATCATATGACGTGTCGCGATGCTGTGTATAACTAAAGATATCAGAATTATCTTTTCTCTCCGTTCTAGTTGTTATCATAATGCGTTAAATAAACTGTCACCATGACAGTTCCGTTAAGCTCTAGAGAACATTTGTCACATCCTTATTATATATGATTTTGTCATATGTGCAGTAAGTCATTTTAATTTTCTTTAACTGACACTAAGATTGTTATGATTTCTATGGTAGTTTTCCTATTTTCTTTTGATGTTCAGGATGTTCTTTTAGGTAAATTATTACACAACTGACGAACAAGGAGAAATGGAAACATCGACAGCCGCCTCTACCTCGAAGTCAAATGTAACTAAAAGCAACCCTGATAAGCCAAGTCAACCCAACACATCCGAGACCACTGATAGTAATGGGACAACGGGATCTTTTGAGTGTAATATATGTCTTGATTCAGCCCGAGATGCAGTAGTTAGCATGTGCGGCCATTTATTTTGTTGGCCATGTCTCCATCGTTGGCTTGAAACTGCTGAAACCCGCACGGTATGCCCTGTTTGCAAGGCTGCTATCAGTAGTGATAAAGTGAGTTCTATTTTCCTATTACAGTAACTTGTTAAATGTAATTTTATACGATAAACAATTTTGCCATTACCATGATGTTCTAAGTCGTTCATATTCCTAAAATCTACGCATTCTTATGTTTGGTAGTCTGCTTCTTTTAAACACTATGTGTTTATTGATGCTTCATGTTACTTAGTGTAAATAATCGTATAAAAACGACATTAAAATCAATCTTAGTATTTTAATTTCGAAATCTTATTCCTTTATATAAATATTTTGGGATGAATATCTTTCTGCTTATTTTTTTTCGCTCACTCATTTTACTGGTTCTCCTTTTTATTTCCAAATTTTTTGCTGCTTTCGCCTATTTTAATATGAGCTTCAGAATAGCTTGAATATTTCTTTTAATAATCTACTGAGTTGATAAAATTATAACTTGACATGGGCCTATCCATTTAAATTAATTTCACCTTTAGATTCAAACTACTATTACGTTTTTCAGTAGCAAAATAATACCTTCAGATCTCACTGTCATCAGAAAGTTTATTTCATAAACTAAATATATAATTCAAATTAATTCCAGTCACAAACAATATTAAAATTTATACTTATAATGTAAGTCCCACATCGTTTGAGAAAAATACATAGTGACCAAATTCAGATAACGTATGTTAATCTATGTCCTCAACCAACACTAATCGTTTATATTCAATGAATCGAAATGGGTTACAAGTCCACGAACGTCTAGTCATTTATCATCAGTCATCGCATCTATGAAAAAAAACTCTTGTGTAACATTTCCATGATCTTAGTTGTGATTACTCATTCCGTATTCTGTATATCTGAGCTTTACTCAAAAATTCTGTATTTTATAGATTTTGCGTAATCTTCTATTTCGAAAGAAAATTGTTTCCATGATATTTTCACGCTTATCTTCTTGGTTATTCCTACAAGCGAGTGTTTAAACAATTTTTAATTTTCTTACAATTTTTGTCTCTTATTATTCTCAGTTTTATTCAATACCTTTCTAATATTGAGAGTGTATACTTATTTCGTTTTCAAAAACTTTGTATGTTACAGGCCACTGAATAGAATACATGATCCTTGTTCTTACTTTATTCAAATATGAATGATTGTGCAGTTATTTACATAATCAAATTATAATACTTTTATTCAATTTCCTTCATTAGGTCATCCCTCTTTATGGACGTGGTGCGGACCATACACAAGACCCTCGTACTAAAATCCCTCCCCGCCCAGCTGGTCGACGTACTGAACCAGAACCGGGGGTCGGAAGCTTTGGAAGTACATGGGGAGGATTGTTCGGTGGATCTGATGGGGGTAATTTCCGAATGTCTGTAGGTATTGGTGCATTTCCATTCGGTTTCTTGTCAACAACATTTAATTTAGGAGGTAATAGCAATCCTGCAAATTCACACAATGTTAATGGCGTCAGCAATCGAGCAATACCACCAGACAATTTTTGGGGAGCTGATTCAGAGACAATGTCAAAAATATGTTTATTTATTGCTATATTTTTTATTGGTTGGTTATTAATTGCGTGAATAATTTTTCATATTAACGTGATAAACTACTTACTTTCTATTGTCGCTTCTTGTTTAATTTATGATTTATTTTGAGCGCTTTTTTCCCCAATACAAATCGACATTTTCATTTTTGATAACTGTTTACTAGTTAATTAAATATAATTTGAATGATTTTTCCTTACTGTTAACTATATCTGAATAAGATCCAATTGAATATCGAATTCTATTTATGTATCTTAAAGCGTTATGTATCATGAATAAAAGTCTTACCAAAATTCCTGTCGTCACTGCTAGTGTATAATGTTTCTTAGACTTTTACTTTCGTTTTGAAATTCCATTTCTGTTCTCAGCTTTATTTCTTGACCCCCCTATTTATTTTTTTTACATATAATATGATGGTTGAAACTCTAGATTATTTGTCAAATTTTACTGTACGTAATCGTATATGTAATTTAATATTTCTTCATTACACTCTTATTAACATTGTAAAATTCCATGCGTTTGATAGAAAACAATTGTATTGTAGGTTTTGTGTATTACATTATCAATGGTTGATTAACGGGATTTCGGTTTTATTTTTTAACAAGATTTGGATCATATTCGACTTAAATATGTTTATATTTATTGCAATACGTACAAGTATTATGAGAGATTTAACTTGATTCTAAACTACTTTGAGTAACAATTTCAATCCTGTTGGAACTCTTCATTTTTTTGTGACTGTTTATAGCATTAGACTTATTCAATACTTACTAATTGTTATTTTCTATTTATATACAACGTAAGTGTAATTGTATGCTAATTTCTGTGATGTCTATGGTTTGTATATCACGATGTGTTAATAAATTATTCCATACGATCAGTTCTTCTTGTCTGAATGCTCTCTTCTATGGCTCATTGCTTTTAAAATTTACTATGACAACGGGTAGAATAAATTTGCACATGTAGCATCCACAATATCCTCATTATTCAGAGATTCGCCTTATGCTTTTAGGTATACATTCGACTCTTCTGTGATACTAGTTGTTCATTTTCATTATTGTATTGCTGATATTAAGTCATAGACTGTTAGATTACTCCATGTTTTTAGGTCCAAACTACCTGGCTGAGGTTCGTACGATAATCATGACCAGTGGTTGGAGACGTTGTGATATGCCTCAAAATCAGCCGTAGCAGCGTGATGCATTCATTCCTTAATTACCCACAAATCCTGAATTGTAAATTCATTTTATTCCTCAAATTCGCTCTATATCTAATCTTTTTTTTTACTTTGAATACTACCAACTCCACTTCTTTGGTACTCATGTTTTTAGTTTCGTCTCGCTGTACTGATGTGACATGACAAATTCATCTGGTCCATATATGCGACAAGCTAATTATGATTGACTGGTAAAAATTCGACATATCTTGAGAATGGATGTATTTCTGTGTATTGACGATAGTGACAGAATATGGAGTCTTTAGAATGTTTTGAATGACAATAGGGAAACATTTCTGATGCGTTTTTTCCAAATGTAATAGTCTGTTTCGCATTTCACCGCAAGTACTTATTCTGACTACAGGCATAAAGTTAGAGAAATATCTTGATGTCACAAAGTCTTAAAGAATTTAGTATTAGTACCACTTATAGGAACCCTTGAGAACTCGAAAGTCCTTAGAAGCTGGAAAAAGTCGGAAAACACTTCATCTAGTCAGGATTAGACAGGAAATCCCCAGTGTTCCAGAAAAACTGTGGATCGCAATATTTAGTCTGGATGACTATTGATTTTGGCATGTTCCCGGCTTTTCGAACATCAAGGTCAAAAATAAATTTATAAATATCCTTATTTCCTGAATCTAAATTAATCTTCAGTGCTTCTTGTTGTATTCTCTGTTCAGGCCCCAAGTCTATCGGGCTTTTAATCATCGTATAAGTTGGTTAGGCTGGAAATTCAAGTCATTGAGTTATAGACACATTCTAGGTTAGTCAAATAGGTCTAGGCCTTTATCCATCAAAACCAACCCAAATAAAATCATTAAAATCTTGACCTCTGTTTTCATGGTTTAGCATAAATGCGAGTACTGTTCATATTTGTATCTGAGTATTATTGATTCAGTGTTGATGCAAAAAATGAAAATTGATAAAACTTGCATATTTCATCTCTATATTTACTGAATTTCCCTGTTAGTTGGATGAACGTTTAACAAATTGAATCTTTGGTTCAATATTAGTATTCTGATAACTTGATTTCCAGCCCTATTTGGCGTAAACACATGGACTAGTGCACTCGATTTAGTCCTGCTATATTAAGACATAGATAGATGTTCAGTCAACAAAATAAAGATTACTATTCAAAGCATTGCTTCCAGTGATGTGGTTTTGGCAGTCAGTCAAGAACAATGTAGAACCTGACCAATACACGAACCGGACGTAGTTTAACAGGTAGACTGACATCTCTTCTACACTAGAGCGAAAGCGTCTACCACTGTCAGACGTACATATGTCTGCCTCCAGATTCAATCATTTTCAAGTTATCCCTGGATTTTTGTGACGGCAGATCGGGCTTCTTAGATAACTCAAAACTGGATCGATGCGAAAGCGCAAATATGTTCAGTTGAAGTTGTACACCACTAACTGTTTATCCAAATCTCTTTATATAAAAAAGTGAATTTTCATCGCCGAAAGCCAGTTCTGTGTATTATATATCTGTTGAGTCAATCGAACAAATAATGAATGTACTTCTAACAGTGTTTGACACCAGTGATAACGAATTTGCTATAATTCATCAAACTATCGAGCCGACAGGTTAATAGCTCACCTGGTCAGGTTTGTATCGTAGTAATGAGTTTTCCATCAAAAATTTCTACTTCATTATCCATTCTTTCCAAGATGAATCTTTCGTTGCCAAAATTACGTAAAATTGCAACAAAACAACTAGGTCCTGCATAATAGTAAAACGTTTGTCAAACTAATAAACAGTTTAAATATTTAAATTCTATATTATAATTCGTAATCAAAGCTGAATTGAATTAAATCTTGGTTAAAATACCCTTTTGGACATTCTGTATTTGTTAAGTATTTCAATCAAATCAACATTATCCATGCATGTTTGTTTCTTGTTAAGGTTCAATACTGTGCTTCAACAAGTAAATCCCAATGGTATTTCAAGTTGATGTTAAGTATTACATAATAGTGTAAGACTAATTTCTTTACCACTAACCTGATATGATTTCTAATTTATTTCTAGACCCATGGTACGTATCAAAAATCGATACCTCGTCTGTTTCATTTCGATTCAACCTCAAAATTCCAATTCATTTATACCAGGTTATCCTGGCTGCCAAAAAGAGGATACAGCGGCAATGCGCTTGAGCGAGTCTGATTTATTGGCTATGATAAAACAAAACATCATTCTTACACACGGTTCACTTGGAGTCGGTAAATGTATGTCTCGCTTAAGAGTGATTCACTGGTGTCCTGCTTCCGGTTTATTGATTATACGTTGCCTTCGTAGTATGTCCGTTTACGTCCAAACAGCACTCTCTTTGATTACTCACTTAGATCTTAGTAAGTTCAAAGAACTGTTTTACTTTGAAAATTTATTATATATATAAGGCGAATTGTACAATAAGAAAAACAAAGATAGCAATGAAAACTATACAGGTCTCACCACTCTGGATAATGAATTAATACCACCAAAGTAGGTTTAAAGTGAGAAATAACTGCTCTTGAACACATGAGGCGGGTTTGAATCTTTGTATGACTTATACTTCAGTAAACCTTACTATTCATTTCTGGGGACTTATACACCATCCCAAAAGGTTGTGACATCAACTCCATCCCCCGTCTCAACTAAGTATTTATTAAGTAAAGGATTGCACAGGGAGTTGGTTTTAATTTGGACTGTCTATAATGGTATTAGAGTAAACTGTTTAGAATGGTCACACCGGTTCTATAAGTTTAAGAGTAAACCAACTAAAAGTGAGAAATTAAATTAAACCTTCGATCGTCTTATCCTTTTTGTTAACTGATAAGAAGTTTCTACATAGTTAGTTGATTTACTTACTGAGTGGTGTATGAAGTATGTTTTAAGTATGGATATGCTTATGCTTTGTAGATATACAAGTACCTGCATGTTCTTTACAAAGCAAGAAAAGAATTTCAGCAAACACTTAAATTTCTTAAGTTCTGATTACAGCTTTAGTTGCAAATCACTTCATGACAGTATCATCAAACTTGCATTTTGAGATATGTAATAAAACCGCTTTTGAAAACGATAAACTTTTGGATTGTAAGATTTCTGTTAGTTTTCCTCTTTATATTTGTCAATTGAAGACTAAATTATGCAGTTCCTTAGATCTTTTTATCAATTTGAATAGTTAACCTCAAACAGAAAGTGATGTTTCATAATATCTCATATGGCATCAACTCTTTGAATCTTTAGCAAGTAATTATTAAGATACAGAGCATAAGGCATCATACACACATTTCAATGTGCTACGGTGGAAAATGTCATAAAGCTTAACTAGCATCTATCATTATTTTCCTTGATGTATGAACTGAGTTTGAGAAAAACAAAATTTTATTTAAACTAGCTCATGTATAAACAAATAAAACATTGAACTACACTTTAATTTATTTAACAAACAGATGGACAAAAAAGGAAATCGGTAATCGATATTTATCATACAAGCGGTACAGTTAGAGGCTGTCAAAAATTCCTAGTCATGTTTTACTCTCATCATTTATTCTCACGACCAGAACAATTATTTCGAACAGCCTTGTCTATTGCCGTTGAACGAAATATGATTTCTCCATATCCACCATACATCAATGAAGAATCCTAATTATCTATTTATTTAATAAACTACGTATTATTACGATAAAGGTCTTATCTGTTACCTATTGATATAAAAATGAAATGTTAGGATTATGTATCAAACTTCACAAAAAAACAGCTTAGTAGTTTTATTTTTAAAATATAGACTAACTTGAACGGGATTCAAATAAAATCATAATTGATACTTTAGGAAAGGAAATGCTGGTTAATTACGATGAATAGTAGCACAGAGTGTGAGATTTAAAATCTGTCATTAAAAAAAAGCCACCATCAGTAAACCGATTTTAGATGATGAACAGATTCAAATATTAGTTAATTCAGTACTTGTGTCTCCGTAAACACTGGTTCATATCACTAGACAATAGGTTTTACGTGATCTGTACCATAAACGAGAAGATTTGAGACAAGTGACAACAGAATCCAATAATTTGAATCGAATTTTCATTTCGTAAGTACATTAATTTCTAGCGAAACAATCAACTATGTAAACTGATCGATACTAAAGCTCTTTTCTACAACGTATCCAGTAAGTTCTATATAATCTGAAGATTTATGTTTTTAAAGGATAACAAATGGTATACATGATATCAGTTATGTATAAACGCACAAAACTCAGTGCATTACAGAATTATAAGATAATACTGTAAAACGATTAAAAGAAAAACTTGTTTTAAAGTGCTTGATATTATATACTGAGATTAAAAAGCATTTGTATTCTCAAAATGAATAATAATAACAATAAAAAACATTGACAGGACAATAGGGTGTAAAACGTTGAGTAGGTGTACATATATCCAGAAATACAAGGGGCGCTTCTATAGGAGATAATAAACTAAGTCTTGCTCACGTAAAATACTAGTTTAAATAATATCTATGGAATTAAGAATGAAAAATAACTTATTGCTATATAGAAACACAATTCGTGAACAATAAAAGTGAGGTTGTTCAAAAAAAAGAAACATTTACAAGTTAAAATATAAGATAGTTTTAGATAAGCATGCGTAAACACAAACAAAACTAATTGTACAGAAAATTTCGTTGTGGACCAAAATACCTGACAGGTAGATAAAAACACTGGGTACTGGACTTCACATAATCAATACGTTAGATTATATGTTTACCAATAGAAAATTCATCTGAGCTTCATTTACAATTGTTTACAAATCAAACGTCAAGTTAAGGAAAAACGTATTCACTTGTTTCTGTAAATCAACATGCAGAAAATATGACGAAATAAATATGTGACACAGCCCTACATAGACACTCAAAGTTGTGAACCAAAATCACAGATTTAGTAAACAACAGAACACATAAACAGAATGAGAACAGATATTATTGATGAGTGTAGAACAAAGTTACAAGACAGTAAAGAAATCGAAGCTAATGAAGCATAAAAATGAAGCGAATTATCTTACGGATTCGGAGTAATAAAAATACATGTTGGGGTGCCTGTAAGTAAACTAGTAGGAGAAATACCATCAGCTGTAGCTACGAATTCCGGCTGAAGATTAGCTTGTGCTGGATGGAAGCTGGTAGGGAGATCGGTGCCTGAAACAGTAGTATTAGCAGGTAACTGAGTGGGAGCTATCATAGGAGCGAAGAATGCGCCAGCTTGATTAGCATTCAGGCCGTCCGGAGAACATGCTATGGCAGTGAAATAGGGCGAAGTTTGAGAATGATGAAATCCGGAAGGATATGTTTGAACTGGTTGGGGGAAAAGTGAAGCACGTATAGTGTAACAATTCGGTATGGTCGGTGTTGTGATGCACGTCGATGATATCACATTGTTCATGGAAGTCCCATGCACACATTCTGTGCTCATTTCATTTTGATGCTGTGATGGGATGGTAGATAATAACGCAAAGCTTGGGGATACTGAAGAAACAGCTTGGTTCTGTGATACTACTATATTACCTTCAGTTGAATTAGAAATACAGCTCGACAGTGGTGTAGATGACACTGCCAAAAAGTGACCATGAGGTTGTGTAGCAAATGTTCCGGTTGCAAGATTAAAAGTGTTTGCAATCTCAGTGTTAACTTGACTCAGAATAGGAACTGCGGAGAGTGACATAGAAGGCAAAGCTGCAAAGACTAATTGCGAGTGGGGCGATATGACACTGGAACCACCTAGACCTGTTGAACTGGGGAAAGCATGTAAAGTAAGCTGCCCGGGATGAGAATCACAAGTAGCGAGAAGTAATCTCTGTTCTGGGATAGGTTGATTAACACTGATTCCATCGTTAAGTACACTTACTTTTTCTACACTTATAGGATTAGACTGAAAAGTAGAGCTATCTGCCAGATCTTCTATTTTCAGTTTACGAGGATTTTTAGCTGTGTCGTAACATTTTGTCGCTTGTGGGACGCTACGTTTCTCACCACAGTTTGTCTTAGAATCAGAGGTTGAATTTATTGAACTTTTAGTTACATTCACTTTCAAGTCACAGTTAGGAAGTTTTTGATTACTCTTTTGATGCACTTTTGTATGACGCTTACGTTCATCAGAACGAGCAAAACTGCGACCACATATATCGCAAACGAATGGTCGTTCACCAGTGTGCGTTCTCATGTGTGTAGTTAGATGATCTGAACGCGAAAATTCCCTTTGACATTCAGCACACTTAAAAGGTTTCGCACCAGTGTGAATTCTTGCATGTCTTGTAAGTTCATCAGATCGTGAGAAGCATTTGTTACATGACGTGCATTTGTGAGGCTTTTCTGATATTCTTTCAGGTATACTAGATGTTATTCCTGCCTGAATTTCTATTTCAGAATGAACTCCATATTCTCCTCTAACTATTCGACTCTTATTACGAGTTGTCGATTTGCGCCTCCTTGAGATGCCAGCGCCTTTCAGCGTGGATTTAGATGAATAATCATTATCACCAACGTCATCTTCAGTGACAACCGTTGTATCAGGTGCACATTCAGAAGAATTATTTATAACGGATTTATGTGTCGTATTAATCAAACCATCATCAACTGTTACTGTGTCAGTGAAGCACATATGTTCTTGCTTGACTATATTATCCGCTGTAACAGAAGTCTGTGCGAAACTTCCACCGATGGAAATATTAGTTGCTTCCGCATTACTACTTGCCAATAGGTTTGGAACGGGGGATAGAAATGAAAAAGTACCTGTTGGATTAGCTAGACCAGTTAACACTCCAGGTGTATAAAAACCTCCAGGACCAGGGGATGCAAGAAGTGGCAAGAAAGTAGTGTTGGGAGTTGTAGGTGTTAGAAGACCACTGCTGTTCTCAGCAGTCAACAATGTGGTTAGCGTTAGCCCGTTTCCAAGAACAAGTGGGGCTGGTATGTAAGGAGGCTGATTTCTAGTTGAAAAAGCTATTCCGGAAACAGGATTAGTGTCTGCTGAAACGGACAAACAAGGATTTTGTGTAAGACCAATATTGCTAAGGATAACAGCGCTAGATATCGTTGGTAGACTGGCGGTTGTAGTATTAGATCTATTTGTCAGGTAAGTCGAATGTGAAACAGCCGTCTGATCAACAGTGATGCCCGTGTTTTCAAGATTTGATAATGCATTAGTTAAGAGTGGCAAATCATTCAGCCCAACTGTAGCATTATTATCAGCTTTAGTAATAACTGATTGGAAAGATGCTGCAGTATTATCACCTGATTCCAATTTCAATGAAACAGGCACAGAATCGATCTTTGCTGTAGTACTGTCAGGAGAAAGATGGTTTAAATATAACACAGACGGTCCAGTTGATGTGTTAACTTCAGATTGCTGATTTAATCCAAATTGGGGTATAAACAAATTTTCTGTTTGTAAAATCTCAGGATTTGCATGTGGAACACCAGGTTTCTCAGTATTATCTGTTTTTAAAAATAAAAACCTGGTGTTTAATTACCATTCACATATCCTCGCAAAATAAATCTTAGAAATATAACAATCTATACCAAAAACCCGCAATGATAAGGAAGGCTTATTACTTGTACGATCCAGGAAAAACAATTTAAAGAATTACAACGCAGTAGTTACTACCTCTCAAAATACTACCAAAAAAATGCCAGTGCGTAAAATCATTTTGCACCAACCTCGTTAAAAATATTAGCGCTACCGCACTTACACTTCTCTCTAATCAACCTCATCATTTTCACACCTTCGAAACCAAAGGGATTTATGAGTGGATATCGTTGTTTAAGTACCCAAGACTTTTACTTCCCATCGCAGTTGCTATAGAACAGTTGAGGTTGAGACTGTAATGGACTAGGAATGAAGTCAGTACTGAAAACACATCAACCCATGGGTTTCTGGCGCTGAAAGTAATCTCTAGGGATTGAAGAGATAATGGTTCCAGAAACTATTCACAAAAAAGTTACGCGTAACCAATCTTAAGCAGCTATCTTACAGGCTCTATGGTCATGCTTCTAAATCATATTATCACCAAACTGGTCTCCATTTACGTTCCTCAAAAAGCATCTTTCTGAGATGTGGATAATTAAAAAGTACTAACCATTAGTACACCTCTAACAGCACATAATCTTATATTGGAAAGATCCCATGTTTTTTGCACGTTTATTAAATCTTTTCAACCTGGTCCCATACCAGCTAACATTCAATATCGGGATAATAGAAATTATGTATATTTAACACACATTTGAACCAGCTCAGTCGGTGCGGGTTTACAGGCTTATTGATGGACTTGTCCTTCTTTGCCAATACCTTCCATATAAACCCAAAACTAGTCAGTTGGTGGTTCTCAACGTGAAAACGAGCTTTGAATGCACATATGGTCACGTACGTGGAACCTATGTGTGTCTTCTGCTTTAAATGGTCATGGTTAGCAGCCATATATTAATACGGAGGAAACTGATTAACAGAATACTCACCCTTTTATTGACGGACAGAAATTCCACTTGTGGTGCAGGTGTGAAAGCTGGTGAGTTCACTGTATCTGTACCAAAGCTTCTTCAAGCACTAACCTACCAGCGATCAGATTTTTATCTTGTCAGTGTTTTTATCAAACTATGTCATATGCGCATTTTAAGTCAATAAGTGAATCTAGTAGACAAATACTCGAAAAGTCAAAAAAGAGCTACCTCTTAAAGAATATCTGTCACGATTAAATAAAAGTGGGGAAAGTTGGTAACTCTGATGAACGTAACTTGAAGTCAACAACTCTGATGAAAGTTTGTCATAAATTTAGTCTCAAACGGTGATTTTTAATGATTAGTTTTCAAAAGTTTTAAGTACTTATTTGGTACGCCTTCCAATGACAGACGTTGCCACAGAACAATATTTGATCAATAAATCCAGTTCTGAAGCTAATGATTAAGAAATAATGACACCCTAATTACTATGTAGTTATTACGAGACTTATTTCTTTTCTTATGAATTGAGACGATCGGTGATCGCGAACATTTTGACGGAATTATGTCCAAGACACTTGTTAATATCTCAACCTTAATGCTAAAACTTGATCATTTTTCTTAAAAACTCATCCAAATCAGCTGCTCTTCCTTATCTTAAGTTAGTTATAGTTTTCAAGATTGCTTGGAGTTGAAGGCTTGATATCGATCTCCCACTAAAGTTGTTGCTGAGACGGATAACCGAAGAGGAGTTGGAGACGAAATGAATGTTCTACTTACTGTTCCAAAACTCTATTCTGAGAAACCAAGGTTCCGTTTTCATTATGCACGATCTTACTGAAAGATGACTTTTCATTCTATTTTTAATCAGTCTACATGGTTATCTGTTGCTACACGCAACTGCCTTTTTAAATATTCTCTGTTTTGTCGCTCGGAACTGCTCATACCACTAACATAAACGTTCTGTAAGTTTACATGTATATAGTCTGCTCATGATCGTGTTCAGAGCCCACCAAGACGAGTTTCCAACAACACATTGGTTTATTGAGAGGTTTCAGGATTAACTGGCCTTTCTTGAAGCTTTGGTTTGAGTTGCCTACTGACATAATAGTTATTTTCACAGGAGAATGGAAACTGTAATAGGCTACAAGATGAGTATTCTTTACATGGCTGACCAAGTCCTTATTTAGTTCTATCATAAACTTAACTATGACCTTTTCATCTTTGAAACAAACTTTGACAGGTCTTTTTATTCGACGTTTTCAGGGTCCAGCAAAACTCAGACAAACGTATCCGCACTAAAATGTGATTGAAGTATCCTCAAGGAGAAGCAGTAGTCTTCAATAGATTATCTTAAAGAATAATAGTAAGACTTTCCTTACTTTCTAATATTTCTTCGATTTTAATTATTAACCACTTCTAACTAAATTTTTATCCATATGTCATACTGGTATTAACAGTTCGAGTTCATGAAATATCATTATTGTCCTCTTAAACTAAACCCAACTAAGTCCAATCATAATGAAGCTAGGGATAAGCTCTAAGAAAGCTTTTCGACCTCCTGAAAAGAAGATGGCGCTCAGATGTAATAGTCATACCCGAAATACACTTAAGTGAATTATGTAGTGTACCAATCCTATAATTTCTAGTGTACTGACTGTAGGGATAAGAAGCGATAATGCCTAACCTGGTAGACATAAATACATATTGACATCAATCATAGTATATGCTGCAGTTATACAAGACGTTAAACCAAATCAAAAGGTTAAGAAAGACCCATATATTTCGAAAGCTTCTATTAAATTGCTAAGTAGTCTGAAACTTATCTTACCAGGTTCAAAGTATGATGAATTACTGAACATAAATACAGACTGGCAAAGGATTTACATGCTAGGAGAAGTTGTGCAATAGAGAATAGACAGTGGTGGCATCTAATTTTAAACACATTTATTTCTCTCCCTCCAAGTTTAAAGTGTTGCTCCAAGAATGATCTGAACTAATATAAAGCCTGACCATAGGGTATTAAGAAATCGAACGTGTTGACTACTTTACCTATCTTGACCGTTTCATTATTTCTTAAAGATTGGTGCCCGATGGGATACTGACTAAGATTAAAAAACCTCACTTGGTTTTAGCGAATTTGAGCGAATTACGTAGTGAGTGAGATACCCATTAGTCTACTAAGGGTCATTTATACTATAATCAGTCAGCTACAACGCAGGACCAGGCACATATATGCAACGGTCCAAGTTGCCACAAGTCATTAGTGCAACAAGTTTAACACCGAATTCATAAAAGTAGTTAATTCAATGGTGGTAGTATATAAAAGATTGTGTATAGGGATAAAGTACAGAAAGAATTAGTCCATAGAAAGAAAGATGTGAAGCGATTTTAATCTCAGTTTAAGGGAAGACAGAGAGTGTATACACTTACGCCATTATGATCGATTCTGAAAAATGTCAATCAGAGTCTCCACCCATTGGTTGCGATTGTCTCGCGGACTTCAACCAAGTAGTCTGCATTTACCAACATGGCTCAGAAATGAAGTCTGTGACGTTATGGACTAATGTTACGTTTGGGTTTGGCCGCCACTAATTCCTCCCGTCCGTCTTCCACACTAGTTAGCATTGCGCATCGTGGTAATCAGTGTTCAGGGGGGAGAAACGCATCCCAAATATGCCGGTATTGTCACTCAAAGCTACCCAAAGACTCTGCATTTTATCTGAGTCTTCACCAAACAAAACTATGTCATCTGCGTATTCTAAGTCGATAAGTGGACCTCCTGGAATGAGATCAATACCCGAGAATTCAGTCAACAAGAATGTTATTTCTATCAGTAGGTCTATGATGAACTTAAACAAAAATGGAGAAAGTGGACAGCCTTGACGGACACCACTTGAAGTTGCAAAAGCAGATGACAGTTCGCCATAAGCTCTGACTCGACTAGTAGTGTTCGAGTAAAGAGCCTTCACAAGGTTTATGTACTTCTGAGATACGTCTTTCAATGACAGGCACTGCCACAGAATCTCCCGGTCTACGGAGTCAAATGCTGCTTCTAAGTCAAGAAACACCACCATTGTCGGACGCTGATAAGTATGCCTGTGTTCTAGGGCCTGACGAATGGTGAATACGTGATCGGTGCAGCCACAGTCAGGTTTGAAGCCAGCCTGACTTTCTTGTGTTTGCAGTTCATGAGTCATAGTTAAGCGCCCGATAATTATTGACGGCAGTATTTTAGATGTCATATTAGTAAAACTAAACCCTTTATAGTTAACACAGGATGATTTTGACTTCTTATATAGTGGGACAGTCAGTGACCAGTCAGATGGGATTACGTCCAACTCCCAGATTTTAGCTAAAACATTAATCATCCTAATCGCTTAATCTGGACCACCATTCTTAAAGATCTCTGAAGCCAATCCATTTGAACCAGCTGCTCTTCCTCGTTTCAGATTAGATATAGCCTTTTGAACTTCAGCTAGAGTCGGGGGACCTACTTCAATGTTCGATTCACACTGTCTGGGAATGGTGGATAGTTGTAGAGTAGTTAAAGGCCAGTTAAACTGTTCTCTAGTTTTCCGCCCATAGTTCTAAACATTTGGGCTGAGAGCAGACAAGAGTGTCATCTTTTTTCGAGATCGTCTCACTTGACTTATTAATTTCAGTTTCTTTTATTAGTCTGAAGAGCTGTATTGTGTTACCTACAGTCACCGCCTTTTCCATCTCCTTCGCTTTCGTTGCCCAATTTATAGAGTAGTCTTCGTTTTATTTTATGGCTACGAAACGTGGTCTCGATAAGTCGGTTGATGAAACCATCAAGTGAGATGGTTCAGATGTGTTACATACCCTCAGAGACCATCCAAAGAGACGCGTAATGACTCCTGGGAAAAAGCTAGGGACGCCCAAACTAAGGCACCAATTGTATATGAAATAACTGACTGAAACGGAGTCGTATTGGTAAGTGATGATTAAATGATTGAAGTCTATGTGATAAGTTATTGGAGATCTTGGGTCACTTGTTTCAGGAACCATTGCAGTGTAGCAGATACCCTCTCAGTATTCCTCTCTACATACCTTGTCTTCATTCTTTTTTTAACGAACAATATATGTTCAATATTTGATTCTTCTCATTATTATTATGGACTTTTCGTTATCAATCTTATTAATTTTATTTAGTCGTGTTACTTTGGTATGGCAACTTGGTCTAGTGCAAATTTACTCCGAGCTTTACGTTGACTATGACTGACCAGAGGTGTAAAAGTATGTTTAGTACTCTTTCTGATATTAGCTAGTGAAGATGTGATCTATTCATTTTCCTTATACTTGTTATTGGATATTACTTCAGCAGAAATTCAACAAATGACTACCACTACTCTTTTCAGGGATATAATAAAGTTTAGTTGGAATTCCTTAATCTAACACTTTGGACGATTATAAAAAGCCTTTAACAGATCTTAATGTTTTGTTCGATCACGTGAATTTATATCGTCTTTAGTTAGTCAATCGTCATTAACGTAGTATTAGTTCAAATTTCCATACTATATTAGTATGGTGATGAAATTAACAAGCTACATATTAAGAGAGATTAAATAATGTGGCATTATTGACGATGAAAAAGAGTAAGCATTGAGAATATAGTTCGAAAGGAAATAGTAAGAGTAAATGTGAAGGAATACTGGGTTTTGTGACCGAGAGTAAATGCATCTACGCCATTGTAAACAATCATGATCAATCTCACTAAGTCTCCAGACATTGATTAGGATTATCTCACGGGCCCCAACTAGGTAGTGTGCATAAACCATCACACATCCTAATAGGTAATGAATTTATGAACTGTTATCACTTAATCGTTTGACGATAAGTGAACCTCTTGGTTCGAGATTGCCCCTCGATAGAGGAAGAATGTTTTATTTTTAAGAATATATCTCCGATGAGATTAAATAGGAAGAGATAGTGAATAGTCGTGAAGAACACCACTCAATGTTGACAATTTCAACAAAAATTTGCTGTCAACGCTGATAACCAATGGTGGTCGAGTAGGGATTTCACAAGGTTGATATACTTTGTTCCATATTTCAATTACAAGCAGTCATAAAAACTCTTCGTTAGTAGTAGAAAGCTAATTTGATGTCATTGAGTAGAACTATGGTTGGGCGTCGGTAAGTATCCTTGTGCTTAAAACCTGGTGAAGAGTGAACATCTAGTAATTACACTCACATCCATGTCAGAAGAATCTCAGTTAAACGAATTTGCTCTCCCCAAACACTAGATAAGAATTTGATCATTATAGAATACAGGAGTTTAGACACTATTACGTTTATTTGCCAAAGTCGGTCAACTTAGCGGCTAAAACTGGACTACCACCACAAAAGACCTCTGAGGTTAGTCCCACTTACTCGCTTTAAGTTACTTAAACTTTCCAAAGGTCATAGCATCCTTCAAGACTTATTTTTATACCCCGTCTAAGCTATAGTCATTGTGCATATGGGTAAAAACAAGGAAGGAATGGCTTGTGACCTTGCCACTCTTAACTCTTATTGTAGCATAGAGACGGACTGAATATAAGCAACTTTCAAAAACGACCCTGCCAAAAGGTGCTTTTCCTGATTTCAAATTTGGTGTTATGCTCGCACCGTAAAAAAGTCTCTAACGTGTCTTCAGATATACAAAAGTTACATGAGTTTGGCTCAACTTACTGGTCAGGTGAGGTCAAGTAAGTGACCACACTAGGATTGTTCGTGCGTTTGACACACGATTATTGACATTCACACTTAACTCAGGGTTCAACAATAAATTGAAAACCAATAGTCCCATGGACCAATTAAGTCAAGTCATTAAGCATAAAACGGGAAGAATTTCGGACAAATAACATAATATAGCAGCTAAAACAGTTTGTGCGATAACGAAACTTAGTAGACAGACAACTTAGCTAGGACCATATTTAAACTACATAAAGTTATAATACGGTCAGAAAAGGAATGATAACACTCACCGGTTGCATTAGGATGTTCGCATTCTACTGCTACTGAAGAATGGTGGTCATTTGAAAGTGAGTTGAGGACAGGTAGACGTTTATGGAAATCATCGGCAAAAAACAATCCCCCTGAACTTGAAGTCTTAGATATTGCAGTTGGAGTATTTAGAACTTCATTTGCATCAATAAGAAAAAACTTTGTGGCGTCAGATGCTGTTTTGGGAGTTTCACCTGAATGAAATGAATCGAAAGACACGTGAAAATCGTCTAATGCCTGTGCTCCAGAGATTTCATTGGCCATAATTTCAGGGATTGTCTGATTTATAACTTTGAGAAATGCAAACAAAGAACGTCGGATTTCCGTTTAGTTCATCTGATAGGAAAAATTCATGCAGCACATAACATCCAACAATCGTAAAACAAAGAGAATAACAGTTCCGAACTTTTTAAGGAAAAACTCAGAAAATGTTAACCACGAAAACTACCTTGACAACATATAGTCACGCAGACTGTGACTAGATTTGAGTGAAAAGAACAGGACACTTGAAATTTTTACTGAAATGTATTAGGGTCTAGTAAGAAATAAGGCTATTCCGATGGATCTCCAGCCGCTTTGGAAGTAATAAATAACATGTTACTTCATGGCCCATGATGATAAACAGTGCTAGAGGCCAAACATAAATTAACGAGAAATATTATCTTAACGATCAGTAGGCAAACGAAACCGGGAGTACCCTCCAAGGTCACCATATCGAACCAATTACAACGCGAAAACAAGGTTTTTCTTGTCAAGGTCAAAATCGACAAAAATAAGCGCTTCGTTTAATTATGCATATGGAGCTGCTTGTTGAAATGCATAGCAATCTCAGTGCGGTATGTTAATTTTTTTGTAAATGCTACAAATTCCAATGCAGTATCAACAGTCTCCTAAAATTTTCATAAATTTTTAATCTCCATCAGGCTCACTATAATGAGCGATGTGCTAAACAGTGTATGAAGGTTGGAAATATAGACGGAGCGATTTATTACTATAAAAAGTCTATTGGTAAGCAACTAATGTGCTTTCGGCACTCATTCTAATGCCAGTTTTCACTTACATGTGTGCGCAATATTTATGCTTTTACCTCTACTGACATTCGAACGTGTATATATATATATATATGTCTATGATCCAAAGTGATTATGTAAATCGTAGTTATCAGTGGCTCTTTTCTGCATATATTCGTATTGTTTTGTGATTTTTTAAGAATTCTAGATTGTCACTGATGCTTTTTAGATTTCAAACTGATAAGTTTATTCATTTTCTTTTGGACACTCAGCTTGTTACGATTCTCTGATTATCCTTTTGCTAAACGTGTGGCAAATTCTGTCGCTTTTTATTCACACCAATCACTGTGCTGTTTATGTTTATCTGTTCAGTGCAAATGCAATCTAGATCTATAAATAAAGCCACTAATCCTAGGAATTACCCCAACTTGAACTGCTCATGTGTAGTACAATGCTATTTTCTCCTTAGTCTATATTAAGCTTATAGTTATCAAACTTTTTATTACCTTTTAAAGCCTTCATGGAGCTGACCCGAGACGAGGTTGAAGAGGGAGATCATGATTATGTAATTATTGATTTACAGTTATCATCACTGAAGCTGAGCTTAAGTGATGTGGTATCAATGAAGACAGAAATAATATCTGGTGACCAGAACGTTTCTTTGAAGACAGTACCTGCTGATCATTCGCCTTATGACAAAAAATTAGCTGACCTTCCGTCACACTTACCTTTATCCTCAAACCAAACGTCCAATAAAAAAGAACAAGGAGCTGCTGTTAAACTTCCTAAAACTGAATTTCAAACACATGAAGAATTAGTTACCTGTATCGAAGAACTTCGAAAACTTGTGAGTTTTTTTAAGGAAAAACAAATGATATTTATCCAACCTAATCACTTATTCAGAGAAGTTTCCTAAACTCGTAATCTCACCTCTCCTCACCCAGCGAAAAGTGCATATCCTAAGTCAAACTTTTGACTCCAGTTATACATGTGTCACAGGAACAAGCAAGATAATCACTGTGTTTTCGACTTCATACCTTTAATCCATCAAGGGTCATTTATTTCATGTTTCAGTTTTGTGAAAATGAAAAAGTGATGCTTCGTTATTGTTTAAGATTGCAATAAATTGTGAATAGCAACTGACGTAAATTTGTTTCACAATTTCTATCCTGTTTGTCTATCACGCTACCTAACCTAATAAGAGGGTTATGGTAGACCATATTTTCATTGTAATCTATCTGGCGTCTCATCTTGTCATGGTCGTTAACTCCTAGGTAGGTTAACTAATCCATAAATGAACATCTATAAATATTTGAAGACTATTAGATCGTCGGGATTATTTTTACCTGTACTCCTGAGTAGTTGTCAAAACTAACAACTAAAAATTTCTTCAAACCCCCAAATGCCCTGGTATGGCCAAGAGTGGGGAGAGTCCGCTCTCCCTCTCGAAATGCTCTCACAAGGCCATGCGTATATAGCCTCTGCCAGGGAAGTCCTACTCACTGCCTTCTCGTGGCGGGGGTGTTGTTTACGAAAATGAGAGGACGAAAAGCGAATTTCTGGCGCTTTAACCGGACCCCAAACCAATGGTGCACATGGGCTCCAGTATCCTGCGGGAACAAATGGCGTATGAACCAATCGTTGGTCACCGGCTACCATGGGACTGCATCTCCTTACGATGCTCCACTGCCTTGTGGGTCGGACGTTCAGGTCAAAGGCTCGGGGTGTGGCCCCCTAAGAAAACCACCTGCTTCGGTTTGGGCACCCGGTCAGTATCACATCCCTCACACAAATCAATTGAGATTTGTGTGGCGCATATGTATTTGGTGCCTCCCTGTACCTATACTTATGTGTTAAAATAAATATAGTGAAAAATTTTGTGTTTGTATATATAAATCAAATGTTGTAGAGGGTATATTTATTCATAATTTACCCAAAAGAGTTTCAATTTGGCGTGAAAATAGCAGTAGTTTTGATTAGCAACTACTGCCAGGAATGTTAGTATATTTTATAGAGTTCTGGCGAATAAGTATTTATTGAAACACTCATCCTAATGAGTTTTGAGCAGGACGATGAATAGAGATAGACTGAAAAAAGTGATTACAACTGGTTTGAGCAGTAATCTGAAAAAATATAAGTTCATTTAGATAAATAATTGACATTTTATCTATCCATACATGGAATTGGCCTTGTTTCACCAATTCACATCACTGTAATCCAGTTGTTACTTTCACACGAATTCATCTCTTGGGTGTACTAATTTAAGGTAAATCCGCTTTGCTGATACATTTTTCCATTCCCCCATGTTTATCTCTTTACCCAAATATTTAACCCCATCGTTCGTTTTAAGACCTTATTTCACCGACTTAGTTTAGATATTAAGATGCAGATTACGCTTTTAGTCTCCGAAAAACAGTTATTTGTTAATAATAGTCATTTTCCCACGTACCGATTACATACTTGTCTGTAAGCCACTTATGTGAGCAGCTCGTAGAATTTCACAACTGATTGAATCTAAGTTAATGGAGGAGAGGGAAAGTAGCTTAGCAATTGAAGTGCTCGACTTTCAAACATTAGGTCACAGGTTCTTACTCTTATAGACTCTCTTCTGTTCAGTCACTTAGGTAGAATTACTAACCCTAACACACAAAGTGTAGCTCAAAGCTGAAAACTCAATCCCGTACTTAAATATTATATCAGTTAGTCAACCATCAACAAATATTGCATCGCTTTAATAATTACTCTGAATAAACATCTTCCTGGTTCCCAGCTTTCAACTGGGATATCAATACTTTGTTCCTACCGTAGGATCCAATTGTTTGTGTAGAATTTACTGTAGTTTGTATAATTAAATCTATTTTTAATACCAGATATTTTTGGAAATTTTCAAATTTTATAGTCTACGTCACGAACTGACTTTAGTCTAAAGACATTTTGTAATGTAAGCTATAAAGTTCTATCGACTTTGGCTTCCAACCAATCTAAATAGTGGCACGTATCGTAATTATAATGCCACGACTGTAAATTGTTGTCAGTAAAAGTGACTAATTCCTACAGTTATTATATTTGAACGAAAGTCATTTACCTACCTTCCGGTTAAAATTGATTGCTTCTTTATCAGTATTTCTTAAGGCGTGATGATCTTGTTTTCTCCTGCTGAACGTTTAAGGTGGACATGTTGGCATCCCAGCTCAGTCGAGTTCGTCAAATGCTTTCAGAAGAACGTGAACGTCGTCTTGCGATAGAAGCGGAACTGATATCTTCAGGTGGTTTTAGTTATCAATCCAATGAATCCTTCACCTACCACAATTACGATGATGACGATGGTTTTGATGAAAACAGACCATGTGTTTTCACAGACCTCACAAAACTTACATGCTTGAACTGTAATACAACTGTCCCATCATCAGCTGAGCCAGATTTATCTAATGACGATTCAGCTTTACATGATCCACATCAAGCGTCAAGTCCTAATGTGTCAGACTCAGAGCCGAAATAATTGTATCGTAATTATTGTACATCATGCTGCAATCTTTTTTGCACTGATCATCATTTCTGCTACGACAGCTCCCCCGGTGTTTCACTCAATATGAAAAGAACCAATCGTTTCACAGCTGATTTCCTATAATTATACTTACGGGCTAGCAATTTAACATGGATCATTTATCGAATGATGGATTTTTGTTATCAATGAACACGAATGTGTTTCATTCAAACCACTATGTATGCATTTTCTGCCTTGTTTGCTCTTTTCTTTTCTACATATTTTTTGGATAGTATACAGTATAACGACGACTACAAATCTTTTTTTGTTTTACTTCCTTTAATATTCAAATGAACTGTATGATGTCTTTCAAGCAGATAGTAATAATTCATCCATTCCTTTGTCTTCAACTGTTTCCACTAACGAAAATCGATCTGTCTTTCAAAGAGTATAATAGTAATGACTTTAATTATCCTCAACCTAAAATACTGATAAAGCTTTGCATTATTTTTTACATAAATGGATTTCGCAAAAAATATCCTACCTTTCATTCTATTAAAGACTTCTAATAACACTGATTTATCCACCCTAAATTGCCATACGGTTACAATATAAAAAGATACTATATACGAACATTATTCATTAATTAAAGCGGTAAATCCTCCCTTTATCCGTATAGAATGATCTTAATTTATATCGTGCAACCGTAGTTACAAGAAATAAACCCATGGTAACTGCTCCAGTTTGGTTTAACAAGTGAGTTATCACATCCGAAAATCTGAAAACAAGGTATGGTTGTGTCGTCGTTTGAATTGTCATATGCAGTTCAAGTTAGATAAAATATTTATGACGGACACTGAAGTGAGGACAATTTTCCCAGTAGTAATAGCAACAGTACAGTTGCCAAAAAGGTAAAGCGAACATGCTAAGATCTTGAATAAGGGTTATGAATTATGAGCGAGACTATGATTTATGGACGACCTTTGAGCGACGCTAGACTGACCTTGAGAGCGTCCACCTAATAACCAGGACAAATGAGGGTTATAAACGTGTGTAAAGAATTATGATTTACAGTGGATGGTTAAGGTTAGAAATTAGATTTAGGGTTTTCATCACAAACTGACATCAGCTATATTGCCAAGACCACTTAGCCAAATGGATGAGTGAATTTCACGCCAAAATCCGAGGCGTGTTATCTTATACATTATTGGATCGTCCACAAATATAATCACGCCGAATTATGGTTTATAGGAAATGATGAGCAGTAGTAGTGACAGAAAGAGCCAAAGTGGAATGAGAAATGTTGTGGTGGAAAATGTTTTAGATGTATCAAAGAAACGGGTACAAAATATAAGGTGAAAGTGAAACCATCATCGCAATAAATGGCCGTGACTTCAGCCTTATGACCGTTTTATTAAAATCGATGCTCTCGGAATATAACCTTTCAGAAATTGATCCTATTATTGACTTAGAATATGCAGATGATATAATCTTATTTGCTGAAGAAGCTGATCAAGTGCAGTTCTCTGATCTCGAGCATATTTGGGTTGCAAACGCTGCTTCAGAAGTGACTTGCGTCAACGCCTGAAGTAATGATAGAAAGTCAAGTTGAACACGTCGATCACTACTCAACTTGGAAGTTCTATCATCCTTGGTGGATTCATATCTCATGAGATCTTGGCACAGATTCAGAAATCCCGACGAGTCTTTGCCAACTTACATCATTTGTGGTGTAGGCGAGATGTCCATGTATCAACCAAAGGACGAGTTTTCTATACAGCAGTTCGTTGTTCTATTGTATGAATGGTAAACACGGCCGTTAGGAAAGACGATATGCATAGGTTACTAAAATTTGATCAGATATCTTTGAAGCATTGTTCATGTATTTCGGATCGAACAAGTGAGCGACGTTGAAGATAGATGCAGTGTATTGTGTAAAAATGGCAAGTCAGTTGACGATGTAATAGGTATGCATTGCATATGCTCAACTACTGTCTACCTCGATGTGCAATGAAGGCTGGTGTAGGAGTACATTAGAAAGCTAAGCATGACCAAACCAAAACGTGGCATCAGCCCATAAAGAAATTGGCTGATGAAAAGTATGATTAGAGATGCAGGACCTTTAGGCGGGGTCTGGGAGATAACCTCTATCAGTGCCCTGAGACTATGAGTGATATTGTTCATAAACATTAACACTGGCATAAATACATTCATTTTTCGTCGTTCATTAGATCTTGAGTTTGAAAATTATCTCATACATTTTCAACGTAAATTCATTCCCTCCTCAAATCACATTGTCAGTGGCTTTTGTCTTTATAATTCCATCTTATTGTGCATATACGGTAGGCCAACTTGAACTGAAGAACGTATGTATCAGGTTCTACTTTAGTTTTGATTGACTGAGAAAATAGAGATTGAGTGTACATTTAGCCAATCCGTGACCTTATTATTTCCCAGCTGCATGTGTTCCTTACCGCGCGTAATTCCGCCATGGAACTCATATAGTTGAGGAAAACCGATTTTATGCAGTGGTATTGCAATCCTCCTATTATCAAACCGTACATGTAGACTAAGTTATCATGGTGCAACCATCGTATGATGCTTAGAAAACTTTATATGGCTTCTACACTCGGTGCTCATATTTAACGGCCTTATAGTCAGATGTTATATCTTCTTACTGAAATCCAAATTGTTTAGTTAAAGTAGCCGAATAATTAGAAAACAGACAATTTACTATAGATTTGATTGGTAGACTATCCCAATAATAAGAAAAATAGTATCTTCCATAAATCAATATTTTATTTAACAAAAGCAAGAAAAGTATTTCTGTACGAATACGTTATCCCAGTTAAACCAATGGTCTTTGCCATGACAGTGACGTTTTTTTCATTTCAACCAGCTGTTCACTGTATCTTTCATCACAGTAATCGATGTACCAAAAACAGTAGGTTGTACTTGTACAGGATGAAGACGTGTAATGAATTGTTTTAACTCCAGAAAACTACTATGTTCACTATATGGTGCACCTATTTCAAATAAACAAAAACAATCAAAAGTCATGATTTCAATATAGAAATATTAGAAGCATTATGACTACTAAAGGATGTGAAAATAAAACTTTCAGGATTTCTGCTATTTACAGAGGATATATTTTGATTTATTAAGGAGAAATTTAGCTAGATGAATAATACAGATTGGCATAAGTTGAGCATAGTTTTTATCATGAAATGACCCAATGTGGATAAATATCGAGAGTAAAATGGTGTTTAATAGCATACTTTTAAATTCCCCTACAGTACTACCTATTCCAGGACTGCCTTGAAAGAAGAATAACAAAAAATACAAATTTCTCACTGAGATGATATTAAAAAATGAAAAGCCCGATATTTCGCACGCCTCAAAAAGACTGTAAACATACATCTCTGTTACATTGTTCTAAATCAATACTACTAAAAATAACAACTAATCAATTACTCCCCTACCTATATTTATATTAGTAATAATTTTATCCTGATAGTTGCAATATGCATGGTTATAATTAACAACACGATTAGTGTATCTTAATAAGTTTTAATTAAATTTTGTTAACTAAATTAAGAGCTGAAGCATTTCGTGTCGATCTGAATTATAGGATACTAAATCACCTTACTTTATTAACTATGGGAAGCGAAAATAAATTCATTTAGCGTTGCATAAAACAATACTCAAAAATAGCCATCAAAAGGATGACAATGAAATCGGGACTCAAAGCTAGGTACTTAAGTGGTTTCGTGATAGAGAAGAATATTAGTCAATGAACACTAGTATTTTCGATTCGGATGAGTGATATCCAGCTATCTAATCCAAGTTACAGTTCATAGTGCTCAGTGTAAAAAAAAAAAACAAATCGGAAAGAAACAATTGTCCGATCCCTCTTGAATTTACTGCTTCAACTAAAATACACGAATGAGATAATAACAGGGAAATTAATATCGTAATATGACATAGTCAAGTTTAACATAAGAACCTGTGAAGTCTTGGTTCAAAACACTTTAAATACAGAATAAAAATTAAACTTCATCTTGTAAGTAATACATACCAGCTGGGAAAATAAATTCTCACCACTAAGAGTATTTCATATAACTGGTAATAGAAATCATTTGACTATTCCTGTAAGATATCAATACAATTTATTAAAATAGTGTAAGAAAACCTCGAAGTCAAACAAGTAACATTTGTTATTTCAATACCGATGCTTAAATTGTTAATTATAGTATCCGGAAAGTCTTATAGGAATAAGATTGCGGTATTACAATAATCAAACAGAGATGACTATAAGAACAAAGCTATGATGTATTCTGAAGAAATCTGATCGGTGTTTTCAAGACACACGAATCAGTTATACAACTATTATTATATAAAATTGTTTACATCCTGTTCAACGAATTCCGTTAGACTATACAACAGTTTGATACATTTCTCTGTTTTTACCGTTATATTTTTATTAAAGTACAAAGATAACAAACTCTCTGGGTTTTTTTTCTGCAAATTTACTGGTCACAACCAAAGACTAGACATCATAATTCAAGAAAAGTGTGATTTCCATGAATACATGTGTTCGTTATGTTGATTGCTACAAGTGACCAAATGTATAAACAACAAATAAACACGTGAATAACAATTAACAATCTATTAGTGATAATATCAAACAAAAAAGTATCACGTTACCTTAATTATTAAGTATCTAGTTCATTTGAAAGTCATCAAAATGATGACACATCATATATGTTCATTCACAGCCAATGAGTAATATAATTTTGATCGAAATCTTCTATTAGAATACAACTATTATTAGATAGCGAAATCAACTTTCATTGGTTACAAACTATTTATTTAAGTGGAATACGAAATATGTTCGTCTAATCATATGTTATACCAAATAGTACAGTAATTAAACAACCTTTACACGCATTCTGGACTGCTGGAGAATGGTTAAATCTCAAAATAAGAAAAATTCGGTGCATCACTTGTAGAGTTGGATAAAGGCTTGTGGATGATACAATCTCTTATATTCTACTGATGCGATAAACGATTGCTGAAAGTGTTTGATATACGAAAATAACCGGTAGTCTGGTGTTTACGTCAAGTTTAAAACCATTAAAAGTAGATTGTAAATTTGTATCTGTTAGATTGACTGAGATACATTACGTTCACTGAGTTCATTTAGAACCGAAAGTTCACTTTAATTAGGATTAAGTAAATAAACGGCTCAAAGATGTAACCGATTATTATATCCTTGTTACTTGCTGAAATCGGCAAGAAAGCGTAGATTGTTGTTAACCAGAAACCCAATTCCACCCGTAGCCCTTCTAATATTACTGCCGGTTTCAAGTCCAGATAATAAAGTACTATTGGACAATGAGTAAGCAACCTCATGCCGTATAAAACAACCCTGCCAAAAATGCCAATCACAAGAAACAATTTAAACCATTAAAATTCTGTCATTTGAGTCGAAGGATCTCCATTTAGAAGAATTATGATGCCTCATGTGGAAACCCGAGATTCTTCGGAAGTTACAAGGCTGACGTCCCCTCTAACCACCAGAGCAACAATTAATATAGGTATATGTAATGTACGGATAATGCGAGAGATAGTAAGGACCAATGAAACAGCTGCAAAAATGTGGAAATACAACTTGACTATGCTTGGAATAAATGAAACCCATTGGACGAATGTTGAAAAGAGCTGAAATGTGAGAGAACTACATGATATAACAAAGAAACTAGAAGGGAAATTTAATGATTCAGAGTGACCAGTTAAGGACAAGGGAGGCGAACCAGTCACTAAATCTCAAGCAAGATGCCAAAATACAGCATAGAGAACACCAATGCAATAACACTTGATACAGAAGCTCTGGAAGGAGGAAACTTTCATATACCTGGTCAGTAACATCGATAAACAAGGAGGATATGAAGGCAAGGTTCAGCAAAGCAAAGGCGGCATTCCTACTACCAAAGAGCATCTGAAACTTAACACAACTGTCAGTCAACATCAAAGTCACAATCTTCAATACAGACGTCAAGATAGTTCTATTGTACGGAGACGAAACTACGAGAACTGCTACAACCATTGTCAAAAAGGTACAAGTATTTATGAACAATTTTCTACACAAGATACTCAATGTCCGTTGACCGGATACGTTCAGCAACAACCTACTATTGGAGGGAACGAACCAGCTTCCTACTGAAGAGTATGTTAGGAAAATATGCTGGAGGTGGGCAGGACATATATTGAAGAAATTATCAAACTGAATCATGAGGCAAGTTCTAGCACGGAATCCTGAAGGGAAAAGGAAAAGAAGAAGATCAAGGAACATATTGCATCGGGTATTAGTGGCAGACACCAAAATAATGAACAGCAACTGGAAAACATTGCCTAGAACAGAGTTCGATGAAGAATCCTTGTGGGCGGCCTATGCCGCTCCACGAGGGTAACAGGAGTAGGTCAGTGAGTTAGCTTCAGAATCTAGTGATCTATACATTTAAATTCAGTTTACTCACGAGATAATATAATCATCATCCAGTCTCTCGTCCCTCCTATTCTATTTGTAGGCAGTGAGTATTTTTAAGCACATACTAGATAGATATTCCAATATGTTTGAATTAATAAAAATATATTTAATTGATTTGTCAACAAATAATCATCAATAGATGATCATTTCTAAATTACATATCTTTCTTCAAGATCAAGTAAACTTTACAATAAATATTTCAAACTCTTCATTTACTAATAACAAGTGAGTTGATGAGTTTCTTCAAAGACACTATAGAAGTATCAATATGATAGGTAATCAATCAGTTTGACAGAAATACATAGTGAAAACAATAGAATTTCCTTTTAATTCACTAAATTGAAATGAAAAAAAATATAATTACAATGAAATAAATTATTTTTCTATGAATTCTTTCAGTATAATATTCACAATTTGTTTAAAAAAATAAAAAAAACTAGAATTACCTTTAATAATCAACATTTTTAATTGATTTTTAAGTAACCATTTTTATTAGTATACAGATATGTATTTCAGTATGTTTGTTTGTTTATTCGTATACATCCATGAATGAATGAATGGATGTAATGTAATGTAGTGTAATGTAATGCAATGTATGTAATGTTAGAGATAATATCTCTAATTCCTTGTCTGTCTATCTATCTAACTATATATAATTTAATACTGTACAATTACTAATGTGAAATATATTTATTACAAAGTGATAATGACCAAAAATAAATTATATAAATGATTAAAACAAAATATATTGGCTCTAATTCAAATATAATTTTTATTAGATGTACTTCAACAGTTAACTAACTAATTTATGTCATATACACCCTATGTATGTTGTAAATAGGAATGTTAGTAAATCAGCACAATAACATTAATTTATTTAGAATAATACAAATTTTATTATATTTTGTTAGTACTCTCATTACCTACTTACAATCTGTAATAGTTCAATATTGAAACTTACAAAAAAGTAATAGAATTTTACATACTTTATGACACATGATTTTGATCAAAAGTTAGTGTGAAAATGTATCAGTATAGTGTAGTAAAGAATTTAATAACACTTTTTTTCTTTCTTGAGTGATTATATCAAAATGTTGAAACTGAATATTAAGTGTGCAAAGGAAGATTTCGGGGTAATCGATGAGATGGATAACAAAAATGGCTTACGGATTAAATTTAAAAGTGATTACATAATTAGGTAAATGGGTATTAAAGGTTAAAGATAATTAAGAATAGTAATGAGTAATGAACTAAGCTGATTTATTTGCAAAACACAACCATGAGTCGGAAAAGATTTGAAGCAAAGTGTAATCAGATAAGAGCAAAGAGTTTAAAAATAAACTCGTGCTTTCAGGCAAAAACTGTCATTAGGTCAGTAATGATAATAAAATGAGATGACCTTAACATATATGTACATATACATGCTTAATTGCAGTTGAAGTTTAAATCACTTGGTCAAATCTTGCTCCACGTCGTCAAAATTTAGGTAGTCAAGCAGAATTGATAGCTTATGAGATCAATACATAAATTTGATTGTGATTTGTGAAATCCTTAAAGAAAATGATAAAAGGTGTTTTTGGAAAGCCATCTCAAATGCAGCTGTTAATAATAAGAAACTTGCTAATGACCTTATCAGGATACATGTGAGCAATTTGACAAGGATGATAAGGTAAATATACTTAGCCACTAAGGATTTATAATTGCACACATCTTAAGTACACAGTTTTAGAATACTTTTACGCGAAGATTAAAATAAAATAATATACGTAAAAATTAAGTCATAGCAACAATGTAATGTGTAGTACTTATGAAAAATGCATCAACCAAAATTAGATAGTGGAATATCTTGGAACCGATTGTCGACATTCAAAACAAAACAAAGCTGAACTGACAATCACAACTAAACATTAATGATCAAAAAAATTATCTAAGTACCAGTTAAAAGATGACTAAGTTTACCTTAGCTCCTAAAATAAATTATCAACATCCAACAAATGAAAATAAAAAAATACAAAATATGAACGTGTTCTAAACATGTATCCATCAGAAAACTTACCATATATGTGAATGTCGCTCTTTTTCTGTTCCAAAACAATGCCGTTCGGTGGAGGCTTTATTGATGCCTGAGTATTATTTGACTGCCGATGAGACCAACCAGTTGGGCGCCAGCCTAGAATAGACCGCAATTTAGAAAAGGTTGATGAATTGTGAAAAGGATCAATTGGTAATCGATTGCCCAATTTCTTTTGATGTTGAACAAGGCCTGCCACATTTAATTGCTGCATGGGTAGAACATGCAGTTGAGCTTTATGAGAACTATCAACGACATATTGAAGCAGCTCTTTGCATATAGTACAACCGCCTTGCGCAGCTAGCTTGATTAAACGATTTTGATTGTTTGGCAACCAAACTTTTAGGTTTAGTTTAGAGGCAAGACCTGGTCGCAGATTAATAGACGTAAGAAACAAAACTCAATGAAAAATAAAGCACAAAAATAAGTAAACAATCATATATATATATATATATATATATATATATTACCGCGCGGAACCTATGAATCAAATAGCTTGTTTCGTAGTATAACAAGCACATAAGAAAAGTGCTTCATCAGTTACAGGCACAAAAATCAGGGAACACTTGATGATGATTTTATGATCATATATAGATTTAATTGTTCAAGTTAGAAGCCAATTATGTTCGAGTATCCGTTACACCAAGGTAAGATGAGTAGCAAAAAAGGCATCTTAAAAATGAGTAGACAGAAAAAAACGTTTGATACCGTGAACCGTACACAGAATCATAAGCTATTTATTTTGTACTCACAAACGACAGTAACCAGTGTCTGAATAACATAATTAAAGTGGCCAAAAGAACTTAATGATAATCAGCATGAAGCCCTGAACCTAGGTCTCCTGATGAAGGGCAGTCGTCAACGTTAGTTATAGATGGCCCTTGGAGAATTCATCAATCCTACAAGATTTGAAAACCACGTTGTTCAGTGCTACAACCCAAGGCATTGCCACTAAGCTATCTGGACTGTGACTAAACTCCCGTAAGACTGAGATGAATAAACTATTTAGCCATTACGGGATATATTGTACGGTATTTAATACTGACCGGATTTTACTGATAAAGTCTGCACGAATTCAAAAAGTTCGTTTGGCTTTTGCCTACTTATGTCACCTATGGTAAAGGTGAGATCAAAGGACGAGTATAATACACGACAGTTCGACCTGTTCTAGTTTACGGCTGGGAGACATGGCTATTAAGGGTAAAAGATACTCGTAAGTTACTAGTATTTGATCACAGATATCTTAGAAATATTGCCAGTATCATCTGGGATCAGCGGGTAAGTAATTGTGAGGTTAGACTCAGGAGTATTAGGGAATGATGGTAAATCAGTTGCTGATGTTGTGAATGTTCATCAACTGAGATGGTTGGGCTACGTGTTGCGTATGCCTGAGCACCGAATACCACGACGCGCAATGCTGACTAGTGTTGGAGATAGATGGGAGAAAGGTAGTGGTGGCCAAACCAAAACGTGGCATCAGTCCACAAAGTCACTAACTTCCGGTCTGAGCCAAGTTAGTATATGCAGACTACCTGGCTGGAGTCTGCATGACTCCCATAACCAGTGACTGGAGACTCTGGGTGACATGACTCCGAATCGATCACAATAGTGTAGATGTATATAGTCGTTGTCTTCCTTTAAACCGTGAGATTAAAATTGCTTCATACTTTTCTTTCTATGAATCAATTCTTTTTCCCTATATCATATCCTTATATGCAACATTTATTTATATATATATTACTAACATATTACTACTATGAATTTGGTGCTCACCTTGGTGTGCTGATGAAGTGTCGCAACTTGGACAGATGCACATATGTACTTGGTTCTACGTTGTTACTGACTGACTGACCGATGAAGTCAAGAAAAAAGGACAGGGTCTAAATGGATTGAAGATCGAAAGGTCTGTTGCAGGAATCCAGTGACAACGTTTAAAGCATAAGTATAAGGAATCATTACCAAGGTTTGACTTGATAATTTCAAACGAATTGAGCATTGAGTAGATTGTTGTAAATAAAAAATAATATATCTGTGATATCCCAATGGGAGGAAGTGGCTTACATTGGGTCATGAAATGTCAGAAAATCTAATTTTCCTAATCATAGGGATATTACAAATACATTATTTTTTATTTATAAGTATAGGGAGATGGAAATACGTATCAAACTGGTCGTAGTAAATTACGAAAACACATCGACACTAGGATTCCGACGTAGAATAGCACATAACTGTCTAATTTTGAATGGAGCGTTATTAGCATTTTAAAATGAAATTAAAACATTCTCAAGGACCTTCGACACATCGGTCTAAACAGACTATCCCCCAGCTGTTCGAAATAGACTTATGAAACATGACTAGGGCGGTTTGAAAAACTTGTTACCGAATTCGAAGTCATAGAGTTTGTTGAGGGTAGATCCTTTATTAGATGTTTATAAAACTACTTTTTTCATATGTCTTAAGGCAAAGGGACAGATGGCGAATCGAACACTTTTCACATCATTAAAAATGTGATTTCCTCTTCTAATGCTCACCTTTATTGATATGAGCCTTTTCGGTAGTCACCATTTTTAACCGTATCCATTTGAATGGATACCCTAACGGTTTGGTTGTGAATAAACTCTTTCTTAAAATCTTTGTGAAATGCGCCAAATCAAACCAATCAATAATCTACTTTATCCTAAACCTATTACATAATAGTTAAGAAATTATTTTTTGGATTATAAGATGTGTATGATACAAATAGAATAAGTGTATTAAGAAAAGCACGTGAGTGAGGAATCTATATACATATAATAGATCTAGATAAATTACCATGATTATTACGATTATGTACAGTAGGAAGGATCTATAGGGTGACCGCTAATGGTGTGAATAGTTAACTACTAACGAATGTATATCGTAGTTATTTTAAAAAAAACTAGAAAATAAACTTAACAGACATTGGACTGTCAAGTAATATGTTAAGTTGAGATTTATGAACTTGATGTTTACATACTAAATTTCCAGTTTAAACGATGGAAATATGTATCCATTTAAGAAATCATCTACTTCTGATCTGAGTTATGCTAGATGGTGTAGAATATATGATTAAAGTGTTTAAATGACACGATTCAAAATCGATTGCAGCGGGCCAAATGTAATTTCTCTGAAATCTCGAGCGTTAATATAATCTTATGCTTTTTTATTTCACCATTTTATTTCCTCTTTTCAAGTCACACATTTTTACGTTGTTTTCGACTTCCCCTCTTATTATTTCGATGTAGTCTAATAAATTTAATCTAAATATAATTGTGCTAAGTTCTATGTTGCTGACGAGTAATGACTAACAGACAATGAATCTATTGAAGTTAAACCGATCAATCAATTAATAGTATCCTTAAACCCTCAAACAACAATATAACTCCAGAAATAGAAAATGAAACTCGACATGACTAATCAACCTTAAACATTATGGTAATTTGAAATTTAAAATAAATAAGAACCAAGTTAGTGGAAATATATCTAGTCTTTAACTATGATGTTCCATAACTATCAAGTTAACATCGATTATTTACGATTAAAGGGCGTCTCCAACTAAGATAGCAACCTGTATAATACTTCCTCAATGTTTTATGATTGTTGGTTTTTTTTTCTACTTAAAGGTAAAGAGTAGCTAATGGTAGTTACAGCATTTGGACTTCAAATATAAGGTTGCAGATTTAATCCTAGCTCTGACTACTTTGGCCTGGGCAACCTCACATAAAAGGTATACATGAAAACCAAACACACGAACCAATACTTATACGGCTTTGAAGAAAATGTAACAAATTCACAATTAACACGGTATTTTAATTGATTTAGTTGAAAGTTTAAATATAACAGTGATCAACACATAGATCTTTTTTTAGAGGCCCCCGAATGCCCTGGTATAGCCGAGAGTGGGGTGGGCCCGCCCTCCCTCTCGAAATGCTCTCACATGGCCACGCGTATACAGCCTCTGCCAGGGAAGTCCTACTCACTGCCTTCTCGTGGCGGGAGTGTTGTTTACGAAAATGAGAGGACAAAAAGCGAATGTCTGGCGCTTTAACCGGATCCCAAACCAATGGTGCACATGGGCTCCAGTATCCTGCGGGAACAAATGGCGTATGAACCAATTTCTTGGTCACTGGCTACCATGGAACTGCATCTCCTCACTATGCTCCATTGCCTTGTGGGTTAGACCTTTAGGTCAAAGGCTCGGGGTGTGGCCCCCTAAGAAAACCACCTGCTTCAGTCTGGGCACCCGGACAGTATCACAGCCCACACACAAATAAAATGAAAATTTGTGTGGCGCATTTATATTTGGTGCCCTCTTGTACCAATATTTATGTGTTCAAATAAATAAATAAATAAATCTTTTTTTAGAAAAATAAGTAGGTACTATAAAAATGGAACGTTTTCTATTATTGTGATCAAATGGGAAAATCTACGTGATTTCTAACACACACACAGCGCTTTTATTTCCAATGGAATTTTTATGAGCAAATTGAAAGTAAGAACTTTGTAGAACTATTTATGAATAAGAAGAAAAAGTAACTAAGATTATGCAACTTCCAAAACATTCTGTTTAAAGTCAGAACTGCTAGTTTCGCTGAGATTTGCACTAGTTAAATGATATCCTATATAAAATTACAAGGAATAAAGCGATCATTTAAGTATTTTTTTTATGAAACAATAAGCCATGAAGGAAATTTTCAAAGATAATATAATAAATGTCCAGTTGAATTCTTGTTTCCAATAAGTTAGAATTATGATTGGATAACGTAGTGAAATATTTTTCATTCTTTTTCATCTATTAACAAGTTTGTTTGTCACTGAACAAATTGGTTGATTTAAACAAATCCTTCGAAATTATCAAGTCAAACCTTGGTGATGACACTTACAAATCCTTCATTTGTATTTTGGTTGAATGTACGTGTGTGTTATTGTCGATCTGTATTTCGTCATAATGATGAACAGTTTATGTTTACTTTAAATGGGTTTCAGGTTTATTTAAAGACGAAAACCAACACTGGTGAATATTAGTGAAATATATCACTAAATATTTGGTACAGATGAGGAATTGATCAAAACTTGTAAAAAATAATCAACCTTTTTAGCGTTCAGATTTTAAACATGATGTTAAATAGCTTTATTACCATTTTCAACATTTCTTTATAAAATAAAATATCCCCAAACTGTTATATCCTAGTGAAGATTAAATTACGAGTAACTTCCGAGAACTATCAATGGACTAATATTATATATATATATATATATATATATATATATATATATATATATATATATATATATATTGTTATTGCATGATTATCCAGTAACTATACTGCATATATCCATATTCCTCT